GCCGGTGGAATGATAAGAGCTCTTTTTCAACAGACAGGTATCCAACTTTAGAAGTTTGTCAATGGGCCATTCCATGATGGTTCTCTGTGGATACGTCTCTTCAGAGTTCCATCATCTCTTCTTGTCAATTAGACGTCCAGAAATGGAATCTTTGATTTATTTTCAACTTCCATTGTGAATTTAATTGAAGGCTGATAGTTATTAAACTCCTGTAAGATACAATTTAAATCGGAATCATCTTGACAAACTATAAAAGTGTCCGTATACCTTTTGTAAAATGGCAATTTGTCTATTGTCGATTTTAAAATCCCATTTTCCAAACTGACCATAAAGCGGTCTGCCAAAATTAGGCCAATGGGTGAGCCCATGGCAACCCCATCTTTCTGTCTATAAATATCGTCGTTGAAGGTAAATTGGACAATAAAGATGCATCTCAATAAAACTTTTTCAGAAATGAGGTTGGTATTCCGATGCCCAGATTCTTGTCCTTCATATATTTGTACAGGAAAAAGATTTTTTTCTGTGGGTGGCACATTGGTAAATAGAGATTCTGCGTACAGTTATAACACACGTTCACCATTTACATTCAAATCTTTTATGCATTCAATAAATTTAAAAGTGTCTTGGAAAGAGTACTTAATTAGTCGGTGTCATACTGGCTGTAGCATTTCGGAAAACCATTTGGCCATTGGGTGGTATGGTGAGCCGATATATCTGAAATTGGTCATATTGGCCGACCAGCTTTGTGCACCTTTGGTATACTATAGAGTAGTAGGAAAACTGATCCTGCTGGTCTTAGGCGTTCAAAATGTTCTTCAGTTATGAGATAGTCCTGCTTAATTCTACTGAGAACGTCTGCCAGTTGCTGCTCCATCACTGCGGTCTTATTATTCTCGTTGTTTGTCTTGGAGAATTTGCTGTTATCAGAGATTAAGGTTGTCAATTATTATTGATGTATACACCTCTATGCATGGGGACTACTTCCAAATCTTTGCCTGGATATGTAGTGATTAGATCTTTATTGTATCTCAGTTCTTTGTGGTGCTGTTTACATCCCTTTGTAAGGAGGTATCGGACTTCATTCCGATTTACGTCCTGGCTAATAAGCACTACTAACTGACACGATTTATTTTTAACTACTAATATCACTCAATCAGTAGTACATATATGCAATCATGCTATTTTGTTTGATTTTTTGATTACCATCTATGACACCAGTGTCAAGTAGACTGCATAAATTGCAATCTCAATATTCGTAGGATTTCCACAGGAATTATACATTCAGCCATGCGTTACCTAGACCGAATACATGAAGACAAAATTTCTGAGGACCATTAAATAAGATGGAGCTTTTCGTTATTTGATGGACGCTGACTAGCAAGGGGTTCAAGGATGCCCAATTCATCCTGTTTGGGACCCCTTAGCTGGATGTATCTGTATTTGCAGTGAGTGAGTGATTTCCTCCCCAACGATACTGTAACCCAGAGGCTTCTGTTTTAAATGCAAAAGAGTTATCCACATGGAGCTTTTCCACAGAACCTTTCCTCCACTAATTAGTTATCACTATTATTGTCATTATCCAGACACACAGAATATCCGGGTTCGACTCCTGACTAGTGCACTCCTAAGCCTCGTTTAATTTTCTAGTCAGTAGTAAGCCAGGAAGAAAGGGAAAGTTGCACGAGAGGCTACCCAATCTACACCATAAAAACATCGTGGCTACTAGTGATATGTTAAAGCCTGAAGCCCGCACTAGGAATTCAAAGAATTTAAAAAAGTAAGCAATTATTCATCCTTTGCATTCAGTAGCATTTCATTCGGTCCTTGCCCATCACTTTCAATAGCTTCCCCAGACTTCAAATGATCTTATCCATGTCCAACTCGTGTCTTCTAATTCGCTTTCTACTCGAAAGACCTTTCTTGTGTGTGGTGTCAACTGAGTATCTCCTTCTTAGTCCTGTCTCCGATCAATCCATTTCTATTTCGCTCTGCATATTTATTGGTTGCACAATAAATTTTCGTTGACTGGTTCGCTTCACTGCCAGTGCTTCTTATTGTATCTCCTTACTGGTCGATTAAATAACTAGCGACAGATAATTAACTGTGACAACCAACCGTTTACAGGTTTATCTTATAATAATGAGGTATGCAGAAAATTCACTTGCATACAGCCCACATTAATTATAATAATCAATAAATTCACAGAATGGTGTAATCCGTGCCCTGTTGTTTTGGTGAATAGTAGAATATTTTCATTATGCCTACATTCAAAATAAATATATAGTCAGCTGTTGAGAAAGATGGAGAAGATAATTACATGAATAATATACCGGAATTTTTTAAGTACGTGTATCAAACTATCTTCGAAGTGAAGGCAGGGGGAAGACAAGGCTGCTTACTGTCCATAGGTGATTTTCATGGTTGTGGTTGACTGGATCACGGAGGCGACCGTGGGAAGTAAGGAAACAAGCGTACGCTGGGCTGATAAGGCGACCCTAGAAGATCTAGGCTAATTTATGTCTCACGTAGCAAAATCTCAAAGATTTAGATGCAGAAAAACACACTTATTTAGGAAGGCAGCGAACAAATGACTTCCGGTGAATATAGGTAAGATAGAGATGATGAAGATCCGCGGTCGCCTACAACATACTCTATCGCCAATAAGAGAATTCCAAATAGAGTCACCTCTTTTACTTACGCATCTAGGCAACACAGATGAGGATGTTAAAGTCAGTCAGGATCGCATCAGGAAAGCAGAACAGACATTTGTTACTCTAAAATCGGTGTGCGGATCAACGGTACATAGTACGAGGGAAAAGATCCGAGTAATCCTAAGCACTAATATCAGCTTAGTTGGTGTTTCTATGTGGTTCAGAAACTTGGTGCGTGCATCAGAAAAAGCTGCTTTAGGCTTCCAGCAATACCTGCACCTTTGATACTAAAAATAAGATGGTCAGGCAGAAAGGATAATCAATAAAGAACTTTGGTATCGCTGTGAACCAGCCACAACTACACAGAAGGAAATGGAGATTGACTGAACGTTGGCTGAGGAGAGACATTGAAGTAACATCACAGAGTAGTCAGGCTCTTGAGTAGAACCCGAATAGCAAGAGATAATTTGGCCTCGGATTCAAGTGTATCATGGAGGAGGCCATATGTGGGGGGAGGAGGAGGAAACTATAGCTTGTGGGTAGTCGTGAAGCCAGTTGAATCAAGAGCAACGGAGATATGCTGCTGAGGCCATATTTTCCACTTGGCACACAAGGAAAGAATCATAATAAATGGAAATGAAATGTCCCTCAATACTTATTTGAATTGCGACACGGGTGGCGATGCATCATACATCACTGGTGAGAGCTGGTAATATCACCCCCTACTTAGCTTGTCAAATTTCTCTAGGTCGAACAAAATTTCGAACCGGACACTTACGGACTGGGGGTCTATGCTATCTACTTTGTTTATTTGTCTTTTCACAATACTGCGTTCAAACAACTTGCTGTTCATAAATAAAAAAAGTAAAGCAGATTCATTTCAGGCTCATTTGATTCAAAAGACTAAGAAATTAATGGACAAAGAATTTCCTTTTGAATAACTGTCTCTTCGTCAGGTTCTACAGTGATATGCCCATAATAATTAAAACAATAAAATTGACTCAACAACGCCGACAGATTACAGTTCAGAAGCTTCTGTAAGTGATAATATTGCACCAATATAACACTTAACTGTATATTAAAAATATTAGGGAAAAATAATACAGAGATGGTGGATTTATAGATTCTGTAGCAGGCCAGGGTAGAAATAATGGCTGCACCTGTTTCTCTTGCACGAACAACTCCAGTTTTCTTAAGCGAATTGCATTGGCCTCTGATGTTTTGAGTGCTTGGTATCCAAAGGCCGTTGGTAATTGATTTGGTACCCGACAGATGATATGAAGAGAATTTTCATTACTAGCAACATGGCACACTTGGACAAGGTGACCTAATGTCAAACTATCGACGGTTTTTAGTACACCTTTATTCTGCCACACTAGTCGGTGTTCTCGAGCACAAAAAACCAACTTTCTAGAGCAACGGTCAATATAACTGATTCCAGAAGAGCAGTGGGACTGATAAATACAGGAAGAGGTGACTAGTCTAAGTGCTTCTTCCATAAGTTGAGGAACCACAACTATTCATGTGAAAAATATGATCTATAGAGTACCAGGATTAAAAATTCCTTGGATGAATTTTTTCAGCTTACTTTTTATATTACTTCACTTGATATGTTGCTTTTGAACTGCACTCACATGTATACGAACGCTTCGTGTTTGGAGATGCAGAATAGTTCCCTATCGACTTTCTTACTCAAATTCTAGTATCTTAACTTATCTAATCTTCTATTGATGCATATCATCACTTCCGAAATGCAATCTACTGTCATTGTTGATTCAATGTTATTTAGGGAGGGAAATTAATATTTTGATAGAGAAAGAAAGACCAGGTTTGCAGTATAAAATGATATCATTCTATTTTCCAGGTCCTCATCAGCTGCAAACTGCCTGAAAGTACAATGGTTATAAATAATGACATTTCATACTTCAATGTTTGAAAGGTAATAAAGAAAACATTATAAGATGAAAGCATCCGAAATATAAGTATTACAATGTAATAATTTCTTTATTAACCTTTCAAATATTGAAGTATGAAATGTCATTATTTATAACCATTGCAATTTCAGGTTGTTTGCAGCTGATGAGAACCTGTGAAATAGAATGATATCATTTTATACTGCAAATCTGATCTTTCTTTCTTTATCGAAATTTATCAAGGGAACCAAATGTACGAAATTAATATTGTTAATAACAATAATTCACGAATTATAAAACATACGACCTGATGTAGAGGGTTTTATCTAAAAGTAAGGCCTTTTTTGCTCACTGATCTCTGAGTCTTTTGAGAATTATTATTATTGGCCATCTTTAATCTACTATTTAGCTTTTGTTTGTTCTTAAAACAAATTACCTTGTAATAAACGTATTTGACATTGATCAACCATATCTTTACAGTACTGAATAGTTTCTTTGATGTTTAACCATTCAGGATATTTGGCTTTATAATTTTCTTTTAATGTTTGAATTTGTTTCAACAGATTATATTCTTCCTCTGTTATGATTGATTGATTTTCAACCGTTTGAATTAATCCTGAATACACAAACAGAGATTCAATAGGCAAACAAATAATGTGACAGTCTTTTCTCCTGTTGTATGGTATAATAATGACTAGTGATATTAGATAGTTACAGGTAAGGAGGATGGATGTGAAGTCAATAGGTCAGGTTATAAACTTGCTTCGATTGAGATGGTTAGGACAAGTGTTGCGTATTTCAAACCACAGCCTTCTTCGACAAGCAAAGTTAGCTGACATAGGATTAAGTTAGAAAAGGGTTAGGTTAGGGGTGGTTAGTTAAAAATCTAGCGTCAATTCATCACATCTTTGACTGTTAATTTGACCCAACCAAGTGGGTGGGAGGGTGTAGACAGTAAGAACTGAAGGATTGACACTGATAATGGTGATATGGTTGAATATCGTTCTCAGTAATGCAGATGCATTCACTCTTTGTAATCTCTCAGATCAATTGAATACTTATTCTTCTCTGCATAATTCTCCTTCGTACCTCTCGTTTTGTTTGAGGTTGTTTTCCCCTCCTCCACCTTTATACGTAGTTTCATAAACGGCGGGATCTTGAACTGTTGAACTCTTGTGCAGAGAAATACGTTGAAAACGTATTCTCAGTCAGTCAGTCTATCCGTTTTTTTTTTCAAGTGTCAACTTGAGAGAGAAGTCTCACCAGACAGACTAAACTTGAACCTGGTGCAAGCGTCTATGTCCTCCCAAACCTAACCCTATATGCTTACTTGCGCGGTTTCATCGAAAGACTTAAACACATAATGTGTTTACTGGCTTCCTGATAGGTATCTTTCATCCCCCAACACTATTCAACTTCGGACTGAACAAGTATCTTCATGATTTCAGAAAGTAATAAGCTTATTTTTACTATGTTTTCATTCTGCGGGGTTAAGTTGCTAGCCCCATACCAAATCTTCCCTTTTTTCTGTACATAGTACTGACCAACAAAGTAGGCGAGGTAAGAGTTACTTAGACATGAAAATTATAAAAATGACTACTATATCCCATGAAAATATTCCAGTGGCTCCCTAATTCTAACTTCTGTCATTTCAACACTGCCAGTCAATTTGATCGGTGAGTATTTGCCTTTACATCCGATTTAGTGGATCCTACTAGTCGTGACTTCCCAGAAGAACTACAGGCGACTTCGTGCTGTAGTCACAGTCACTATTGAACACCAGATAAATTTATAAAATCGATTAATGCATACCGGCAAATATGCTCTGTAATACCAGTGGGAATGAACAATTACAGATTAAAAGAAGCATGCTGGCATTATGTAATACGTGTGAAAATTATCTAATCAGTCTAAATTGTACAAAAGCTACTGGAAATAGGGTAATGTGTTCATATAAAATCATGTATGGGAAATGTAGCATTATTAACAAACAATAAAAGTGATTGCTATGGTTATAAAATAACAATAATAATAAGCTAAAACAATAAAATGAAACAAAATTCTTGGCAAAAGTAACACTCTGGCTACTGTAAGGCAAGTGAGTACAAGTAACGCTTTTGAAGGCAGATATCTGGTCTCAAGTGCAGAATAGTCAATGATTCAGCTGTGTACAAATGGCGTATTCAAAGCTTTTTCGTAATCAGTTGGTTAACTCTGCGTGTATCACTGTGAAACAGTCATACAGGACTACTTGTTGTCAAGAGTTGACAAGGTACTAGAGTGTTCCAAAATGAGTTTACGGACTTGACGCGGTATATTATTATTATTATTGTATCCTTTAATTCCTACAGGAACATAGGGCTTCAGCCGTGCGTCTCCATTGCGTTCGGTTCTCTGCTAGAGTCTTCACCTGGCTCCATGTCTGCCCGCACGTTTTCACCTCCTCTTCACATGACCTCCTCCAAGTCACTCTTGGGTGACAAACTCGCCGCTTCCCTTTCGGGTTCCATTCGAGCGATGGCTTGTCTAGTGATGTCACTTGATGGTTTCCTAAGAGTATGGCCAATCCATCTCCATTTCTTCTTATCTATTTGCTTCACAATCGGTTCCTGCTGGGTTGGTTCGCTCCCAAAGATCCCCGTTGCTGATCTTTTCCGGCAATCTGATCTTGAGTAGTACTGAGCGAAGACAGCTGTTAATGAAGGTCTGTAGTTTGTTTGAGATGCTCTTTATGACGTGCTAAGTCTCTGATCCGTAAAGTAGCACTGACTTCACATTGGAGTTGAAAATTCGGATCTTATTTTTGATACTGAGTGTTGTTGACCTCCACACAGATTTGAGAGTAGTGAAAGCTTGTCCTACTTTTCCGATCCTTGCTTTGATATCCTCGTCAGTTCCGCCTGTAGTTGAAACGATGCTTCCCAGGTAGGTAGGTAAAAGAGGTTGTTTCTTTCAGGTTCCTCCCATTTTTGCTGATTGTTGTCAGTTGTCGTTGTTGCTGTTGGTGGTGTTGCCCAGGAATTTTCATCACCATATGTTTCCTCTATGTTCACCTGAAGTCCTATCTTTGGTGTTTCTTCTGCCAACTTGTTGCTTTTCGCTTGCATGTCTTCCAGTTTGTGGGAAATCAAACATATATCATCGGCGAAGTCCAGATCCTCGAAGTCGTTTTTGTGTGAGTCCATTTTATGCCTGTTTCCTCATTGCTAGCTGTCTGTCGCATTATCCAGTCTACTCGGTATAAGGCCGACAAAATAAACTGTCGAATACACATTGCTGTGGCTAGAAGTGATATCCTGTTGTTAATGCATGACCGGATTCACTGTCTGCTGAAGAATGAAGTTCGCAAGGCGGCTGCCTGAAATACTTTTTGTATTCATACATTTTGGCAAGACGGCTTTCAAAAATTTCTGCTTCAACGTGATATCTAAACTGCAGGTTCATGAAGAGAGTTTTCTCACGAAGAAGTCGCAACCATATTTGAAAGGGGTTTTTCTCTTATCTCAGTGGATAGTCTTTAAACAAATTTTTCGAAACCTTATTTTCTAACTAGTGAAAGCTGATAAACTCTACAATTCAGGTTAGTTATTTTAGTATATTACTGCTATGCAATCACCGTTCCGACCAATTGTAACTAACATATTTTTCTTCTAACGAGATTGGACAATAAACCTTTGAAAGATTTAATTATTTTTGTCTTATTACCGTTACAAACTCCCATCAGCCCCCTTCACTGCCTTGATGCTGAATATCAGATGGCTATCTAGACAGGATAAGTATCAACGAACTGTTGAGGTGGTGAACCAGCCGCGCCATTTAAAAATATCCAGAAGGAAAGGGGGGCGGATACATTGGACATACGCTTGAGAGACACTCAAATAGCATCATAATCCTAGCAGGTTGTCGAATGAAGCCCAAATGGGAAGGGTAGAGCTGAACATAAGTCGTAGGATGACAAAGAAGCGAATTCATGCCAGGAAGGGAAGAAAGCAACTGGGCAGTCGTGGAGGTGACTGAATGTGTTGATAGGGGAGAGATGGAATTGTGTGACTGAAGGTCTGTGCCCCAGTCGCAACACACGTCGGTGGCAGACCACACACATGTGCTCCACGTTCGATTTACGGCTACCGATGCACTACTCAACCTTGTTGAGACCGTAGTTAGCCACGCACAGAGAAAGCTGGGCCTAAGACTAGCAACCCTACCTCACACGGAAACCAGCACATCTACTGAAACTTCTAAGTTCGCGAGGGAGGTTCTTTTATTCCACTCGGAACTCAAAGGAATGAAAATAAACCGTACTTATAAAGAGGTCTAATAACTATCTGAGTCTATAGATTCTCTTCGGTTGGTTAGACATTAATTATTGTTTATTTTATTATTGATTTGGGTTCCTAGTGGAACATAGATCTTCAACAACAGATCTTCACTTTGTTCTATTCTCTGCTGTCCTCTTCAGCTGGATCTACGACTGTTCACAATCTCTCATCTGCTTTTTGCATGATGTTCTCCATGTCACCCTCACACCAACGACCCATCCGTCATTCTCCATTCGAATCTCACTTGACCGACGTTCTGGCGCGCGATGTCATTCGACGATTTCCTCAATGTATGCCCGATATATCTCCATTTTCTCCTACATATGTGGTTGGACGATTTCATCATGAGGTGACATGAGTTGTTGAACAGTAGGCGCTTGGTGGGTTTATTCCTAGCCAGCCAGAGTTCCTTGTTGCTAACTCTTTCAGGCTGGTAATTTGATCCTTAGTATGGAGCTAGTGAAGACATCTGCTGATAAAAGACTGTAGTATCCTGTTGGAAATGCTTTTCATGATGCACTTATCAAGTTTCTGACCCGTATAGAAGCAGTGACTTACTTCACATTTGTGTTGAAAATCCGAATCTTGTTGTTTATGCTGAGTGAGTGGAGAACATTTTTGAACCTATTTCAGACTTGTGAAGGTGTATGTTGCCTTTCAGATTCTGACTGGTTGGCTTTGACATTTTCATCTGGTCCTCTGGCTATGGTTGAAACTATGCTTTCTAGAAAAGTTGGTGAAGTGACCTCTTTCAAGTTTCTCCTGTTGATGGTTATTAGTAAAGGTTATTGTTGCTTCCGGAGTTGTTTTGTTATATTTATCACCTCCATCTTCTCTACGTTCACTTGGGTTCCTGTCTTCACTGCCTGCCTCTTCAGTCAGTTTGTTGGTTTTCTGCTGTAAGACAATGAGTTTTTGTCTGACAGACATAAATCGTCCTCAAATTCAGACCTTCTAGAGTCTTCTTATCGGTAGTCCAGCGTATTCCTGTCTCCTCGCTCCTCACTCACAGTCTTCCGCATAATCCAGTCCACCACAATTAAGAATATCATTGTGAGTGATAATAGGTAGCCAGCTTGTCTCACTGCTGTATCCATTCACTTTTAACGCCTCACTGAGTCTTACGTTGTGGATCACCTGATACGCGGTAGTGTTATATAACTGTGGTTGAACGAGGTTGATAAAGACTAGGACACCGCACGCTGTAGTGTAGAAGCAGTTTACAAATTACTTTTCGGTCAATGCTGTCTGTTGAAGGCCCTTTCGAGGTCGATGAAGTTGAGGTAGAGAGAGGTTTGACTGCCATTCTATGCTTTGTTTTAAATTACCTCTATCTTTTTTCACATGGTTATTCCAACTCCATCGTCATAATAATAATAATTATTATTATAATTTTTTAAATGATTATTAAACAGTTGGATTATTGATTCATTATTACTAGAAAAATATTTATTTTATCTGAAATGAAATCTGTAATAAGCGATAAGATCTCTCGAGGGGTGGGTGATGGCTGGAAACAGATGAAAAAAACAGGATTGTATTTAGGACAGTAACAGTTCTACTAATTTCTCTAACTCTAAAAATGTAGTTTAGAGGAATATTTATACTGGATTAGCGAATTTTTCTTTGCAAGACAGATGAAAAGAGGAACCAACAAATATTTATGCATTTTCAATTTAGATTTCATCAGTAAGTGACGTCATCAGTTAGAGAATCACTGAGAACCCACGGAGCATCGAACAGCTGTTGTTTGATGCTGGTTTGCGATGGTTCAGTCGAGAATCAAACTGGGGACCAAATGAGTGGCTGATAGGCACTCTACTGTTGATCTACTGATGTAGTCTCACTACGTACTGATCAAATAAACTGGAATGCTAGAGTGTTAAGTTTGCGGGAATTGGAATGACTTCAAAGTTAGAATTCGTTACTAACTGACCGGTCAAAATTAGTAAGCATTGATCGGTTAGCTTTTGCAACTTCTCTGAAAATGTGTAATTCATTAACTTAAATACTGGATTTTCCCTACCCATTGACTTCAAGATTTCAAACATCTTATTCCGTTTTAATCATTCAGTAGTTTTTTTGGAGGAAAAGAAACTATATCTTTATCGGGCGAGTGGCGTTTTTTCATTTTCAACACCAAGGACCCCAGGCATTGCGGTGAATTAGCCAATAACAAGCTATCGCCTAACCAACTACGTTTCGTATCCTGTTTGTCAGTCATCTCATTTCCATCAGTATGGAGGCCGAGAAAGCAATCGACTGTCGGTGATGCAAGCACCAAGTCTCCTTTTGGCTGTCTCTACGATTGTTATCAGGCTGTCATCTCTCCATCACGCGATCTCCTCTATGTCACCGTCAGCCATGTAGCCAACTCATTCTGTATTCCGGCCTCGCTAGATGACCAGGAGTCTGATTTCATTCAAGGGTTTCGACAGGGTATTTCTGATCCATCTCCAATTCTTTCAATATGTTTGTTGGAAGCTCAAGCCCTTTGTTGGTAATCATCTCTGGGCGACTATCTGATGTTGAATGCGGAGCCAGTGTAGGTAGAATTTTGAAAAAAAAATCTACAGTAGCCTGCGGGAAATGCTATTGGTGGCACAAAAAGTTTCTGAAACCTATTTATATAGAGAGAATTGACATTAGTGTCGAAAATGTGAATTATAGTGCACTAGATTTCCAGACATATTACAGATTAATAAAGATTTGTCTTGCCTTAGCAGTAAGTATGCAGGATGAAATGGAGGTGAACTGGATATATGTTGAGGAAGCATTCAGGTGGCAAAATATGCCAGGCAGGTTGTCCAGACAAAAAAACTGAATGGGAAGCAAAGATTTGAGCATGAGACAAAGAATGACACAGTTTAGAGGAAATTTCAGCTTGTGGGCAATCATAGAGTCAGCTGAAAGTGATCACAAACGACTGAGCTGGATGGAGGTGTGTCGGTGAAGCCCAATGTTTCATTCAGAACTCAATGAATAAGTGAATGAATGGCTGAAAAATAACAATAATAATAAATGTTACTCACCTTGCAATTCTCTTTCTGTCTTCAATTTGTTCACTTGCTCTTGTAATTCAGTTATTTGAGACTTAATGTGATTAATATCTTGAGCAATTTTCAATCCTTCTTCATGTTTTTCTTTTAGTAAGCCTTGACGGAAAAAGACAGAGGAACAGAGGGAGAGAGGAAGAAGTATAAAAAAATGCTTCTTCGACCCGTTGATCTCCATTACACTATTTTATACTTCATATGTCATGACGTAATAGACACATATAAACCCTGTGTGCCTAGAGTGGGGAGTGAGGTTATTACTTCCTTATAGGTTGCTGACACAAGAAGTACCAATGAGCACAAAGCTTAGCTGCCTAAAATAAACTGACACATCACTTTGAGGTTAGGCGAAGAGTGCTAGGTAAGGAGGACAAGTCATTCGAAGAGGTTTCGAAGCTACACACGCGTCGGTGGCACAGTGGTTAGGACTCTCGCCGACCGTGCACATGGTCCGGGGTTTGATCCCCTGCCGACGCACACCCGATATCTATGGTCGGCCTGTAAATTTGGGCTACCGATATCCATGCTGAAAATTCCATACTTGTACTGAAAATACGGTGTGGCATCAAGCTGTAATCAAAATAAAATAAATAAATAAAAATACACCCAGGGAGATGGTTATGAAAAGTGGTTAAACCAAAACGTGGGATGAATCCATAAAATCTTTGGCAGTCGGTTTGAGCGAGCCACGTAGAGAGGTGTAGACTTGCTGGTTGAGGTCCTCGTGACGGTAAAAACTGGTGGCTGGAGACAATTGGTGGGTGATATAGCTCAAACTCATTGTTCTCAATGGCGCAGATGCATCTCCTCTTTGTGATCCAGCAAATCCAAAAAATCCATGTTACTATTCTTTCCCTCACAAATTTCTCATTTTTATTCTATTGAATCTCTTTTCTCTTATTTTATCGATCTTCGTAGGCTAAATGGAGTGTGGCAACTTGAAATGGTGCACTTCTGTGGAAAGTTCTGTATTGAAACTCAATCTGTCGGCCAGTTTTCACTAGACTACGCGTGATATACGGGATAGAGACCGTTTGATTTGTTGGAAACCTGTGATATGAATAAAAGAAGCTAGGATTACTACTTATTCCTTCCATCCCGAGTAGAAAAATGAGCTTCACTGGAACACCACCATTCCACTGGGATGCCTAACATTACTCACAGCTTGTTCCATAATTCTCCAAAAGCTTCCATTCTTTCTCCACTTGGTCTTCTGTATGTCACCATTGGAAACATGTCCAACTCGTCGTTTCCCTATCAGGTTCAACTCTTGCATCTGCCTGGGGTGGGATGTCACTTGAAGGTTTCCTCCGAATAAACATTCAATCCATCTCCAAATTCTTCTGCATATTTGAATAGGGAGGGGTTCTAAGCTTATTGGCTGTCACAGTATGTTGTTGCTTAACCTTCCTTTAATATCACACGACGATACCTGCACTGATGAAAGTCTAAAGTGGTCTGTCTGAAGTGCATTTGGTGCTATAGGACTCCGTAGGTCCCCCTACATTTAACTAAAAGATAGAATCAATCTAACGCACTAGCGCCATTACATCTGTTCAGTTTGGTTTTATCATCAAACTGGACAGCTTCTAGTTTACTCAATTTGAACTGCAGTCAGTTGGCAGGTAAATAAAGACTGTGAAAATGATATCCATATCATCTTGTTTAGCCAATCAATTGAATACTATGCAGAGAGATTCTTGCTGAAATTTAGTCGAATGGTCAGTTTTCTACACTAGCACCCAATAAATACTATTGCTATATCAGCCAGTTCAATAGGAACTAGGCGATATGTCACCTAACAGTTGCAGAGTAAACGGTTTCTACTTTCTGCTTACCCACAGACTGCGGGAACTGGTTACTACCTGTAGTAATTGAAAGAATATTACTTTCACGTGACCTCAGGGTTTAGAATACACAAATGTTTGAAGTTGTCAGATAAGCGACAGATAATAAATAGTCTACCAATCAAATAGAAATTCCTGTATGTTAACTATTACCAACAGTTATTCAATATTATAAAAGTTTTTGCATTTCCCCAATGAATGAAAAATAAGGCAATATTCTTTTTACTGACGTTTTGCTATTTAATGTTGCTAATAGTTTTATCAATTACTAGCATGGCGTGTGCGCTACTAACAAGATTTATCAGTAGTATATAAAGAGAGGTTCATCGGTATAAAGAATAACAAATAGCAAGGAGGTAGATTTGACTTCAGAGAAAGTAAAAGAATTCAGCGTTGTGGAGAAACATAGCAGACGTGAAAGGAACACAGAGAAACACAATACGAAGGGAAGACAGAAGTAGCACAACACAGAAGATCTGTGCAAATGACGACTTGCCGATAAGGCGTACATAGTTTCGTTGTATAGCGATGTCGAATTCCAAATAAACATTCCTCTAGCAAGTCTCTTGTCTTTTATCACTACACTAGAATCAGAGAAAGTTGTATTAGAAAGGTGTCCACTGGACACCAGTGAAATAATTAAAACCTTATGATTCTTGGTATTAGATGGTTGCAGGCAATCGGCAGGAAGCCTTGGACCTAGGTTTCGTGCTAGTTGGCACTCGCCAGTCAGCATGGTGTATCTGCAACCTTGAAGGAACTCATGTCCCTTCTGAGATTCGAACCCGCGTCACCCAGTGCTACCAGCAGTCAGAGACGTTACCATTGAGCTATTTGAGCTCGTGACTGACCTCCAGTAGGACTGTAGTTGATACTTTGATTGGACACTAGTAACTAGTGCGATGTGTCTAGTCCTTTCTTTGGTGCTAGTTGCCTCCAACTATCTAATATTATCAAGTCAATTTGCACCGTGATGGCAAGCTACCTAGAATGGTGGCCACATTGCAAACATGACTGATAGAATTCAGTCTGCACCGAAGATAGGACTGGGCACATTACACTAGTTACTGACTAGTGTGCAATCAAAAATACCTTAAGATTCTGTCTGAAAACTAATTATTTTGCAATAATGGCCAGTTATACGGCGGATACATTTCTACTTAGAATAAGAGATTAGTTATTAGGTGATAGAATAAATAGTATTTGTGTGACAAACGTGCTAGGCTGAATTCAATTACAATTCAATTACTCCACATTCTAAAAATCTATTATGACTAATCTGTTATTCTAAGTAAGTATCCGCCTCATAACTGGTCATTAATGTAACGACAACAAATATTATATTTTATAATTGTAAGAACCTGAAGAGAAGAATTTACTGAAAAGAATATTTTTTTCGTTCAGATTAACTTTCAATTCACGATATGGATTTATTTCACACTAATAAATCTTATAATTATTTTACATTTCAAGGAAATTTATATAGACAGACAAATGGTGTAGCTACGGGACCACCAGTTTCCCCAACAGTCAGTGATCTTTTCATGAATACATTTGAAGATACCACCTTTTTAAACACACTCGCACCTTAAATATGGCCACCATAGGCTGATGGTACTTTCATTGTACTAAAACTGGAGAAACTGAACTATCTATCTCCCAGGATTCAGTTTACTTAGGAAACAGAAACAGATTTCGGTGAGTTACCTTTTTGAGATCGCCTATTTAAGAGGAAGGAAAGCAGATATTTTAGTGTATCTAAATTCAGGAAGAAAACACACTCCAACAAATATTTATACTTCGGGTTATCATACCTCATCAGCGCCAAGGTATTATTTATTTCAAGTCATCTTAGAAGAGCACACTCTTTGATAACTGATGAGAAGGAAAAAGAAGAAGAAGAAATTCTTAAGTGCAGTAACTACCCAAGAAACTTCATGACCAAAGTCAACGCCAACATTAAACATGTTCGAAAACGAATTCCGAAGGCATGAGCCTCAACAATTGTCATTCCATATAGTGTGAAGACATCAGACGATATCAAAAGAATACTCAATAAGTTCGACATCAGAGTTTTCTTCAAAACATCAGACATACTGAGAAACAAACTTGTCCATATAAAAGACAAATCCCTAAAGAGTCTCTATCTAATTGTGTCTGTAAAATAAAATACTTGGGATGTGATGCGATATACAATGGACGCACATCGACAGAAATAAAATTAAAAGGAATGAACACTGTAGAGCATCTGATCGACCACTGAGAAATCAAGTTGAATTAGAAAAGCTTGAAAAATCATCATCAGTCTACGTGCTGTAGAATCAGGCCACGAAGTTGGTTTTTACAATATTGGAATCATTCAGAAAAATGTCAGAAATCATAAAGCGCTTCATATCTAATGGAATCCGAATTATCTGATTAGGACTGATGGACTCAATCAGAATTTGACCTGGCTCCAACACACCTACCCACTAAGTGATAAAATCAACAGAAATGTGATAAGCAATTTAAGTATGCAGTCACATGCCGTTTTTTATAATTTCATACGCTTATCAAATCCAACAATCCACACATAGTTTTGTTATTTTTACCAATTGGCCAACTTGACAATGCGAAAATGACCCCATGGTGATGAACGATGATAAAGTTGTTATATATAAACTGAGATTTTGTAAATTCTGTTTAATAATACTTTGATAAAGCTGTTAGTACTGCATAGCAAAACGTCAGTAAAGAGAAAATTATCGTTTTGTTTTTCCACTCATTGAGAAATACAGAAAGACTTTCATAATTGTGAATACCACGTACCTAAAGCCAAAGAATTTTTGAAACTATTAAAAGTGAACTTGTTCTGGGCATATATGATTAACAGTTATCCTAATCTGGTGTAGGACGCCTGGTTTACCCTCTGCGGTGGGTGTATGTGATATAACACTAAGTGATACAGCACTATTTATTTACTGACGACATTTGGAGAACAACTTACTGCTGTTCAAAGTCATACTGCAGAGCTCACTAACATAACTTTGGGATTTTATTTAGAATACACTTTCAAGAGTTTTATTTTTTTGATTTGACTGGTAGCAATATTCTCCATAACATCTGGGTTTGGCGTTATGTCATTGCTGTTGCGCGTTTTTGTGTGTGTGTAGATTCGACTGAAAAGGATTCTGTGATCAACCTCTATGGCAGATGGGGATCAGTTGATTTATCAGAACACAGGAATTTACATCAGTGTAGAATGAGAAGAAAATACTCAAAAATTACGAAGCATCCACTGATATACATTTACGCAACAGATTGGGAAGTGAAGGGAGGCTGATCACTGAATTTTTGTTTATCGAATATGCACACCAAACACTTACCATAACAACATCAGAGATATTTTGCTTATAAATTCAGTAGGCGTACTTCAGATGCCACTGTTGTCTTACATCATAGCACTGTCTCCAATTTAGACAAAGGTGCCAGATATGTTCGCTGTGTCTTCCTAGATTACACATTTGCCTTTTGCTCTTTAACTAGCCCTCTTTTGTTAAACAAGGCTGAGACATAAGCAAGGTGCTGGACGAATAAGTGGTTGCATCATTACTTTTCGAATAGGATGCAGTACACTGTTTACAATGGCTAATCCACGGCAATAGTTACACTAGCCGGTGTTCCCCACTCAAGATGTTGTTCCTTCTCCTTTTCTGTTTTTTTCTTTCTTCTTACATGACTTGCCGCATTCTGAAGAAGAAAATTTTTTAAAGTATCCTGGTGATATGACTGTTTCCACACCGGCGGTTGCTTCTCAATGAGACTATTGCAAAGAGAATAGCGTTTTTATCTGAAATTAATCAATGACCCTCCTCTCAAATGGTTTTAGGCTAACTCCCTCTAAATTTCAGAGAGATTGCTAATTTCAATTTCAGACACAAATGCGACTTACGTGAACTGGTTAGCCTGTATGGTCCCACTATCATAGATGACACTGAAGTTGAAACTAAATCAAATGTTCACTACCTTGAACTGTGTATTTCCGCTGATCTTTCCTGGTCTTCCCATATCACACTAGTGCCTAGAAAGATATTTTGTCTGATTTTCTATATAAATCTGGTATCATCCAGTCAGTCTCTACTTTCCAAGTTTGTTAATTCTTGCAGTATTCTATCCATTCTTCTTTATTCCCCCACCCCACCTTAGTCTTCCTTGGACTACTTAATAAAAATTTTGTTACACTTAGGAGGGCACTAAAATCTGTCATCAGGGCGAGTGGGATGTTATCGCTAAACTAACATATTAATGCCCTCGTAGATAGTGGACATATGGACTCATGCAGGAAATTAACGGATATTATATTGTCGGACAGACTCTTAGTATCCTTTCCCCACAAAACTCTCTCCTTGTTGTATCTCATCAGGCAGGACTAAAAGCAAACATAGAAGACTTTATGCTCGGATGATTGAGTATAAAAACTGTACAATACCTTATTTGACCGGGACACATTTTATCTGATGCGAAAAGTGTAAGGTAAGACACTATCAATTTACTGAGGAACTCTAGGTAAACGGCCTCATTTCTATCTAACTTTCTTTCATTAAAATATATCGTTGTTAATACTTCCACTTACATTTTAATCTAGTATTCATATTCTAATTGAACACTGTTATCAGTGTAAACGCTCATGTTTTAATTATTGCCCCCTGTAATGAGAAAGTTAAATGCAATACTCTACTACATGCTGAAGATTCCATATTTGTACCAAAACACTGTTTGAAGTGAAGCTATTATTACTATTACTTAATTTCATTTCCGAGTGGAACAGGCGGGAGTTTCAAGCTTGAGTTCTGAAGTTTCAGTAGCAGCTGGCATTACGCCAGACATTCTCTCTTTACACCAAGATTAATAAAGGTTAAGCAAAGTTTAGGAATGCGTCGGTGGCCCAGAACACGCTAGCTGTTAGCGACTGTCCCACCATTGAACTACCAACGCACTACCACTATGTAAGGAAGTAAAGTTTTTCAAGGAAATGTTTTCACAAACCACTTACTTTTATTTCCTTGATAAATATTGAACAACTCAGAGCCAGGTTCACGTTTAAACTCTTCAAACGCATCATACTTATTCGGTGGACTGAAAAATGGGCAAATTCCAAATAGGAGAAGAGAATTGATAACTTTTATATGCATGGTTAGATAAATTAAGTAAACCAGCATGTCTAACAGGATTATTATAAAGCCAAACGCTCTACTATCTAATAAATATGAGACAACAGGTTATTTTTCACCTCCATCCTTTCAAGTATAAACAGTCTACTTACGAGTTCACAATAATTAACTACCTAGATTGTGTAAAACCTGCATGAATTTATCCTCGTTATCACTATCCTGAAAACTTTGATTGTTTATCATCCACTAATTGATGTATGTCTGAACTTTGATTCTATCAGGCTACATTGCTTAGAAAAAGTACTATGTGCTTAGTAATGAAACTGTAAAAGCTGCTGAGAAATAAACGAAATTATACATCTGCCTAATAATTATTTCACAAAGTTACATTGTAAGGATTCGATTGGTTACATGCTTCATCACGCATTGATATAAATTAGAGAACCACTGAAATAAAAGGGTGTAATGGACAGTTGTTTCGTCCTAGTCTGGGGCTCTTCATCCAGAGCACCACTGGGATTGGAACCCAGGTGATGGGCAAACTCGCTAACCATTCAGAAACTGAGATCACGAATTCTAACCTCCGTCACCTCACTACCAGCCAATGTCATCGGAGAGTATTTGTCCTCTCAACCGACCTCATTGGTCCCAACTTTTCACTAGAATTTCAAGCAACTTTGTCCTGCAGCCGATCAGCAGTGACCATTGGCAGAATTCATCGGCTATCGGATTCCTTCCCGGTGGCTGGATGGTCGAAGAGCGCCTCTTGTAACCTGGAGGTCACGGGTTCAGTCCCTGGTGTCAACATGGGTTCGTACTGCTAAAGCGTCAAAAAGAAGCAGAACAAAATAGCGGTCCAGTACCTGAGTGCTGGTTCATAATAGTTTTTCAACTAATATCAATCCCTGATCATACTCAAAACTATTCAAATTCATACAGGTTAATAACTGAAATAAATTAGGATCTATCATAATGCGATGTAGAATTGTATCGAAGCTACTATCATTACTAAACAATTGGAATCAAATAAAACTGAGTTAATCACATACTACTGATTAATTGACATGAGTAGTTGGATACTACCGCTCACATATCAACTAGTAGTACTTGCTAGTCAGATCGCCGAAGTAATCGAAACAACTGGACGCTGTTTCTCTCGTTTGCAGTTAAGTTTATCAGCGGTGTATCTGGTTCGACTCAACAAAGAGAGCGCAATCAGTTCAAATCACCTGAATTTCGACTGTCTACATGGGTGAACTGTTATTACACTGAATCAAATCCGCAATTTGGAAGTTGATTTTGCTATGTGCTATATGCAAAGTTCGAGGGGAAATCTTACAGCCATTTACACCATCAAGGAGATCACATGTGGAATGATATGAACAATTTCGGTTTCCAGATCTGTGAAAATGAAAATCGCAAAGCAATTTGTAAATTGTACGTTTGATGCAGTGTGTCACCAGTTCACCCAAGTATTCGTTTGGTTTAACTGATTCTTCTCTCTTAGTTGTATCATGATGTCACCAACGGCAACGAAGGCCCTGATGCAATAGGAGGCGATCTCGCCCAGGATAATGACCGCCAGATTCAACTCCAAAGGAAGGAAAGAGTCAGTTATACAATTGTATACACCGACAAACAACGCAGACCTCGAGAAGAAAGAAGAATTCTACAGACAACTACAGGCAACAATGGACAATAATCCAGTCGGCAACATTAAAATACTAATGGGAGACATGAACACCAAACTGGGACCAGACAACACAGGAAGGGAACTCATCATGGGTAAAGAAGCTCTCGGAGAAATGAATGAAAACGGAGGACTCTTCGCCGACTTCTGCACCTTCAATGAACTAGTGATTGGCGGCAGAGTATACAAACACAAGGATATCCACAACGCTACATGGGTGTCACCAGATGGGCGAACCAAAAACCAAATTGACTTCATCTCAATATCGAGGAAGTGGAGGCGCAGCCTGCTGGACACGAAAGTAAGAAGAGTAGCAGACGTTGGCTCAGACCACTACCTTGTACAAGGGACAATCCAAATCAAATTAAAAGCTTTCAGAGAATCAGGAGCTGCAGATAGACCACAAGCCAAGTTCAACACTCAAAAACTGAAGGACCAGGACACAAAGGACATCTTCACTGCAAGCATAAAGGACAAAGCCGAGACACAAATCAACACTAGCGAAGAGGTCAGCGTCGAAAAGCACTGGAACAACTTGAAGACAGTGTGGAATCAAACCTGCATGGAAGTTCTAGGCAGAAAGAAGAGACAGGACAAACAGTGGCTCACTACAGATACGTGGAGACTGATAGAAGAGAGAAAGACATTTTGAAACAAAAGATTATCCAGTGCACCGACGAGCAACAAAAACAGGATTTGAATGCAAACTACAAGACACTGAACAAAAGAGTAAAGAAGAGTGCCAGGGAAGACAAAAGAAAATATTATGAAACCATAGCAAGTGAAGCAGAACAAGCTGCAGGCAAAGGAGACCTCGCAACACTCTACCAAACAACTAGGTACCTATGGGGCAAAAGTTTGACACAAATTAAACCGGTGAAGGATGACAATGGAAAGTCACTCACCAAAGAAGTGGAGCAAAGGAAACACTGGGCTGAACACTTCAAAAGACTCCTAAATCCACCACCACCTACAACGCGCCCAACAATACCAACGACGGAGACAGAGCTACCAGTGAACACCAACCCCCCGACGAAATCAGAAGTCCTGAAGGCAATCAAGATGCTAAAAGCTGAAAAAGCAGCAGGACCAGATGGAATCACAGCAGAAGCATTGAAAATGGACCCAGAGACAACAGCGGACTTGATGACGCCACTACTGGAGAAGGTGTGGAAAGAGGGCAAAGTATCCGAGGACTGGAAGAAAGGATACTTATTCAAACTGCCAAAGAAAGGAGACTTAAGTCAATGCAAGAACTGGCGCGGAATTATGCTCCTGTCCATCCCAAACAAAATACCAAGCCGCATCATCCTGGAGAGAATCAAACATGCCCTGGATGAATAACTTCGACCGGAACAAGCTGGATTCAGGAGAAACAAGTCATGTATTGATCAGATCGCCACATTACGGATCATCATTGAACAGAGCTTGGAATGGCAGTCACCTCTCTATCTCAACTTCATCGACTTTGAAAAGGCCTTCGATAGTGCAGCGTCGATCGAGAGGTGCTTTGGCAACTACTTCGCTACTATGGGGTGCCACCGACAATTATACATCTGATCCAACAGCTGTACGACAATGCTGCATGCCAAGTAATCCACAACGGGAAACTCACAGAATTCCTCAGAGTGAAGATGGGCGTGAGACAAGTTGGTTGCCTATTATCTCCAATGATTTTCCTGATTGCGGTAGACTGGATAATGCGACAAACAGCGGGCAATGAGGAAACAGGCATAAAATGGACTCACACAAAAACTTGGAGGATCTGGACTTCGCCGATGATATATGTCTGATTTCCCACAAACTGGAAGATATGCAAGCGAAAAGCAACAAGTTGGCAGAAGAAGCATCAAAGATAGGACTTCAGGTGAACATAGAGAAAACAGAGATAATGAAGATTCCTGGGCAAGAACAACAACAACAGACAACGATCAGCATAAATGGGAGGAACCTGAAAGAAACAACCTCTTTCTACCTACCTGGGAAGCATCGTTTCAACTACAGGCAGACGGAACTGACGAGGATATCAAAGCAAGAATCGGAAAAGCAAGACAAGCTTTCACTACTCTCAAGTCTGTGTGGAGGTCAACAGCATTCAGCATCAAAAATAAGATCCGGATTTTCAACTCCAATGTGAAGTCAGTCAGTGCTACTATACGGATCAGAGACTTGCACTGCGCGTCATAAAGAGCATCTCAAACAAACTACAGACCTTCATTAACAGTTGTCTTCGCTCAATACTCAATATCAGATGGCCGGCCAGAAAAGATCAGCAACAGAGATCTCTGGGAGCGAACCAACACAGCAGGAACCGATTGTGAAACAAATAGGCAGGAAGAAATGGAGATGGATTGGCCATACTCTGAGCAATGAAACCATCAAGTGACATCATTAGACAAGCCATCGCTCGAATGGAACCCGAAAGGGAAGCGGCGAGTTGGTCGTCGTGCAAGAGTGACTTGGAGGAGGTCATGTGAAGAGGAGATGAAAAGGTGTGGGCAAACTTGGAGCCAGGTGAAGACTCTAGCAGACAACCGAACGCAATGGAGACGCACGGCTGAAGCCCTATGTTCCTCTACGAATTAAAGGAAACAATAATAATAATAAAAATCTCTCTTTGTTGAGTCGAACCAAGCACACCAATGATGAGCAAAATGGCCGTATGGTATTTAGATCGCTTCTATTTGGCTGACTAGCTAGTACTACCGATTGATATGTCAGAGGTGTATCCAGCTTCTTTTACCGATCAGTCACTAGCATATGATGTAATGCAGTTATGCCTGGAATGATTTACCCGGATAAATTGGGAACTTCTGTATCCATCGGTTCGTTGATTGTAGTATTAGTAATACTGCCAAGTTTAATATTTGAAACAGATTGTTTCTTTTCCTTGCGTTTAGCCTAAAACGTATATAGAAAGGTAGAAGTCCAGAAAAGTTCATCATGAAACAAATGGCCAAGAAATTTCTGTACAAGTAAACAAGAAGCCTCTATATACGACAGCGCAATTCAAGCGTGACATACCGACTGAAATAATAACCAACAATTTAAGAAAATAGATTCAAAGAACTTTTAATGCTAGTAAACTGCATATCACACTTTACACAAGACTGGTCATGATTTCTAAACTGAAAAGTAAATTACCTAGGCTAACTACCTTTACTTGTATCTGTCATTTCAACTAATCTTGTGCAATCAGTTCTATATTGGCCATTGCCCACTAGAAAGTTAATTTTTCCTGCTCAGGGAAACTTACCAGTATAAAGCTAAATAAAGGTGCAGTAAACACCATCAACTGCTCGATAATAAACCGCCTGCCCCAAAACACGCCATAAAGCCAACACATTGAAGAATCTTCTCCTGTCATCTGTCGGGCAGCGAACAGATTGCTGAAAGCCTCTAGTCACTGAACACCTCATACAGTAGAGATCACACTGCAACTCATTTAAAACAACTGTAGGTGTGTGTCCAAAAGAAACAGATCCAGTCACTATTTCTACCCTGCCCTGGTATGGAATCTATTAATTCATAAATATTGCATTACGTCGCACAATTCTAGGTATGACTTTACATCCTGTATATGTCAATTCCCCTACCTCTTATTATTGGACTTGTGTAAACAAACCATTTATTTTCTTATTTAAATTTGGTAATTAACTTACAAACTGACACACATACATAACTTTCTACCCTATTTTCATTGCGTTTTTGGTATTATTATCAATTCATCCATATGACATTTACAATCAGTCTGAATAAAAAAATCAGTGTGAACATTGGTCATGTGCATTCATTCGTTGTTTTCTTCATGATCACTCATCACACCCATATACGCATTTTTTGAACCATAATCTATGAGTGACAGAAGCGAAGATGGGACTTCAAGTGAATGTGAAGAAGACGAAAATGATGATGACGACGATGAAACTTGACCAGTACCAGTCAATCTCAATCAATATCGGTGGGATAAATCTGAAAGGAGCCATCTCAGTCACTTACCTATGTAGTAGCGTCTCAACTATAGGTGGGCGTGGATGACGGTGTTAAAGTTAGGATGGTATGGCAAGAGAGATTTGAAATCACTGTGGAAATATACAGCACACAACTTAAGGAAGAAGATGTGAATTTTCAACACACTAATATTAAGTCAATGAGTTCTTCTCTATGATTCTCGAACTTTGTGTGACACCGAAACTATTTTCGGAAGACCACAACATACTTTCATCGATAGCCATCTTTACTGCCTAAATATTATCGATCAGATTGTCATCCACAAAGAATGCACAATAAAGAACTCTTTCTGGCGGTGAACTAGTCAACAACTTCTTACGAACGAACGAAAGTGTGCTCCAGGAAATGGAGGTGGATGGACTGTGCTGAAGAGACCTCCAAATGAAATCCCACGGTAGAAGAACCGTCGAATGCGACAGGCTAAAGCGGGTACAAGTGCGACTTCGGAAACATCATGTGATCACGTTTATTAGTATATATTCTACTAAATATGCGTGGGACGTTTACCTGTAAAAATGCTCCATCTGTCATTAATGTAAGATTCGATGTAGCCTTATCTCCAGTGGAGGATTGATCGATTGGCGGTAGAAAACCTCTTCCCGAGGCAGGATCTAATTCACCAACTTGATTAACCACCAAAGATTTCTCTTTAAAATTAACATTCTGTGCAGATTTCCCAGTGATTGGTTCATTATTCAACGTGATATTTGTCTGTCGTTTCGATCCGCTAATATTTGAATTACTACTGGGTAGTTTTGAAGCTGGACCAGTTCCACTGCCACCACCACCTCCGGTGCCACCACTACGAGAACCGCTGGAAATTGTTGAAACGGCTACCGTTGTAGGTGACCGACTACCAGTATAGTCGCTTTGTCTGCTTAGTTGTTCTTTAGCTTCATCCAGTTGAGTCTGAAGCGATCTGATTCAAGGAAACATTTTCAGAAAAAGACGTATAAGTAAATATTATGAAGAAATTGAGATGTATGGACGTAGTTGACAACACATATACAGCTCATTGCCTCTGAGCTAATGAGCTTTAGACCTGAATCCTGCTCCACTTACTTCAGCCCTGACATACTGGTAGTATCACGAGTCCTCAGACAATAAGCGTGCCTCACAAGAGCCGTCTCGTATATTTAAAGCATTTTTTCCGGGTAACAGATTGTGGCTGTTATCAGTGGGATCAAGAATGAACGCAAGTATCCATATGCAGTTACATTCAGCTGAACAGTCGTAAATTTGGCGGAATGAGTATCCTGGAATTTATTGCTGGCAACCACCATAAACCAAAACAACAAATCTGAATATCTTATGAACACGTAAGTAACTTTCTTTCCATTCCTTTTTATTTCGGTTTGTTAAATGAAAGGTGATAGCCTGAATAGGGCAACGTAGTTTGGCAGTATACTGTTAAGCATTCATCCATATGTCACTCACTTCAGTGACTGAGAAACTACAATTATATATTGCCGATAGATTTTCTTGATAAAGCTGGGTCAGTAAATTGTTTTATTCACCAACCTGAAGATTCTGTTGGGTGGAATCTTTAAATATTTATCAGTCTTACATTCATTTATAAATATTTTTATCAAAACTTTAGGTTAGGAAACGATTCTTAATTACATTCAGTATGCACTTCACCAGAGAGTTGACAGTAGTTAGAGGAAAAAACACTGAAATTTAAGCATTAATAAAAGCAACCGGTTGAACTGTCGTTCAGCCAGAACCATCAGCTATGGGTCATACATGCTTATTATCTCTGATAGTATTGTGAGCATAAACTGTGCAGAAAAGAATCCTAGGCTAGAAAGAATCCATCGGCCAGTGCATTTTTTTGAAATGCTTCTGTTATTGAAGTTTAATCGTGACGAAATCTACATTGAAATTTCCATTTTTAGCATACACTTTTACAATTCTTGGTTTACTTGGATTTGATGAACTTCGAGTAAAGTTATCAGTTGGGGAACTGTTGCAATCAGCGAATATTGGATAGTTGTATCGTCCCAGTTTAGAACTCATGAACACTTCACTTCCATAAACCACCCCATTCCCCTCCCCAGCTGTGGAATCCAGGAAATTCCGCTTATGAAACAAGACATTCTGCTGTAAGAACAGAACTAGGATCGCGATATATAGGTATATATGTTTCGGACACTAACTTGTGTCATGAGTGTAGTCCTTTGTTTGGTGTAGATTGAATTCTATCGTCAGTCAAGTTTCCAGTGTGGCCAGCATTCTAGGTGGCTCACCATCACGGTGTACTCTGAAGGCAATCAGCAAGAAGCCTTGCATCCGGGTATCATGCTAGTTGGCACTCATCAGCAACGAGTATATGCAACCTTGGAGGAGCCCATGTCCCTTCTAAGATTCTTAAATGTGTCATCCAGTGATGCAGCCACAGACGTTACCACTAGCTATTTGGCCTCGTGATTGACCTCCTTTATGAATGCATCAAATATAGCGATTGGACACTAGTTAGTATCGCGCTTCTAATCCTTTGTTTTTGCTGCAGATAAGACGCATCATATATATACATGTATATATCAGTATAGAGCTAAAAAAGTGAGCATATTTGTATGATAAAGAAGGTCTCATTTTCTTTTAGAAATTTTTATTTCACGGCTTCCCATCTGCTGCTAGCATAGCCTGAAAAATGACAGAAGTTATTGTAAATGCAGAAATGCATATAACATACCCTAAACAATAATTCAACTGAAATAGGGCACAGTTTTCGAGCAAGAGAGCATAACTGAAGACTGAAGATTCACTAGATAATTGTTTCGTCCCACTTTGACACTCTTCAGTAGACCACCCACCATCAGGGATTGAACGTAGTTTCACAGTTATGCATATTACTTTTTTTTCCTTATTCATAGTTAGATTATTTGTTTTTTATCAAGTCGACTGGCAACACATTATGAACATTTGATGAGTGTAATAGAATTATCATACTGTTATAATTCCCATAGGTTCCGAATGGAACACAGAAGTTCAGCTGAAGATGACATGGAGGGTATAGGAAATGAAAGTTTGTACGGTAGTCATGAAGCCGACTGAATGAGTGATTTCAATGAGGACAAGGGGGGATGAATGATAAGTTCCGACTAAAGCTCTGTGTTCTGCTCTGAACTCAAGGAATAATAATTGTTTACATCAGAAAACACTTGTAGTCATTAGAAAAGAACAAGGTGAATTTAACTTACTTATTTATTTGTTTAAATACTTCAAATGTTTCCCTCAATTGATAAAGATTTACGATCTAGATTTTAAAAACACAAAAAGATATGTTAAAACGTAAATTTCACACATAATCTTTTAGATAAGGTGTTCAACACAAATGCTTTTAAACTTGATGACTGGAAGAAAGGCTCACCGTGAAAGATATTCATCTTTTATCCCCAGGGTTATCAACCTAAATTATTTGAATTTTTCATGAATGAAGGAGACAAAAACAAAAAGTACGTCCAACCTTAAATTTAGAAAGATTGGAGAATTCGATCGAGGCACAAAAGAGCTAAAAAAAGTGGAAACAATTTTCTCATTTTAATTTTCCCTTAGACAAAATAAAAACTGAAAAAAACTAAAAAATTAATGATGTATTCTACACCCGTATTTTTAGGGTTGCAAAGTTTACTTGTAAACAAGGGAGGTGAAACAGAGCCTTTACACTGTTTATTGTTCTCATAATTTCATTTGGGCGATATCTAAAAACAGTAACCAGATAATTACTGCCTCAACTGACCAGAGGGATAATATAAGAGACATTTAAATTATGTGCGTATGAGGTAACCGGAACAGTTGTCGTAAATCGCTACCTGTATGAAATCACGATAATGGATAACTGATGCGTTTCGAGTGGCATACAGTGCTGTAAGTAATTGGGTTCCTAGCCAACCATCCGCCTTTTCTGGACTTTTTACGCGTTACTGAGTCAGGTGAGATTTAAGAGCATGTTGGCCAGGAATCGAACCTGGACCTCGGTAACGGCTGGAAAATAGTCTACCATTGGACTCTAGACGAACTGTTGTTCGTGACTTCTCGGAGGTAAGCACCCATGAATCCCACCGGGAATCAAACCCTGACCACTCTGTTGGTCATTCAGCCAGTAAGATGGAATGTGGCCATTTTTTGGTGTGGTTGTGTTCTCTGAGCTGGGTAGTTAATTTGCGAAGCTTCCATTACCTTACTAGGTGACATCTTCAGCGCATACTTCAATTTGAAGTGAGCTTTTAGATTTATATTTCAATTTGAAGTGAGCTTTTATATTTTTCTATGAGTTTATCAATCATCTCTCCCGGTGACCTTGGGCTTGATCGGTTGTTTTTGTGTTTCTTACACACCTTCTAGGTTACTTGTATTGGAACTGATTGTTCCAGTTCAGGTACCCCCTCAAAGGAAAGCCAAATGAAAAGTCACAAAATGGGTGTTAGTCCAATAGTGATCCGGAGAAAATCATATTGTGAGGTAGAAATAAAAGCTTACAGAGAGACTTGAAGTTGGCTGAGATTTATATTAGAAAGCCAAGTAGAAAATGCAGGCATACTTTGTGAAGCCACATGTTGCATTCAGAGCACAATGAATAAACAATAAGCGAGCTCAACTTACTTTGACCTTTACGAGACTAGTAGATATCTTACCTCTAAATCTTTGACTTCATTGTTTAAATATTTGACAACAGAATTGCGTAATTTATGTTTTTGTTTTTCTGTCAATGGTTCATAATTTATTTGTCCACGATTATTCTAAATTGGAAAGGAATGTTATTAAAATCAGTAAAGTTTGTTAAAACAACTCTACATGTCATGATTAGACTTTCTCTGGACAACGTACTATTACCGTCCTAGTTATGCTAATCAGGCCCGTTTAGAAGAAAACAAAACCAGATGTTTATTGTAAATCGTCGTCTACTGGATAAGGCTTTAACGTTTGATGCGATAGATACTGGTTTCAAGTTTAATATGGAAGCAACATCACTGACTCACTGCGAGGGGGGATACAGGTGCATGCAGTTGACTAGTCTCGAATAGGACCAGATGTGAATCATGAATCCCACTGTTATTAGCCCCCATAAACGAAGTAACATAGCCGTAACATTCATGCAAAATACAATGACAGACACACTACATAGTTTTTCGACACTCATGCATTTCTCAACAGTATTTACACAATTGAAAAACTCACATTTTTCATCATATCGGCAACACTTAGACATGCACATGTGCTGATGAGAAAATTAAATATGAAGGAAAGTTAAACTTACACTATTCGTTTTCGAAATAAACAGTAAGGACAAACCTTTTCAAAATAAATATGCGACACTGAATAGAAAATGAAAGGATGACTGTGTGAATGAGATGTGAAAATAAAGACGTTATAAAAGAGCTTTAGACAACTGTTTCATCCTACTTTCGGAATAATCAAAAATCCCTATGGCCTGTTATACCTGCGCCTGTTAATTATTTTACCGGTAATGCACTCGACTGGTACCCTAATATGCCTATTTACCCGTTGTACCATCCGATTCACTGAGCCACACAAACATCAAAAGATAAAGGCTGGCCATCGACTGTAAGATACTGTATTGCTTGGGAAACAACACATGATATTTATACATTTTCTTAACCATAATAAAGTCGTTTCACAGCCGTGACAATGGACTGGTCTTGTTGGCTAGAGATATCTATCCTGATGGGTTGTTGATCCGACAAAGACCAAGAAGAGACATAGGATAGATCACAATATGCATGAGATATGATCAATCTATTTAGTAACTACATTACACGTTTCGTGAGAAGGGATGATATATTATTTTATGCTGGATTTTAACAACTCGGTCAACTAAATGCGGTACATCAGAGAATAAAGATTACTGAGATTTAATGACATCTTAACTAAAGCTGTAATAAGGTTCACCTACATAATACTTATTATCGGCATTAATCAGGACCCCATGTATTTTGGTTCGTTTGATGCTAATCATCTTTCTGCAGGATACAGGTGCTATTCTCCATATTGTTCAGAATAAGAAGACTGACTTGTAGTTAGTGAGAAACTTTGGCTTGCTGTGTAGTGTGTTTTATACTTTGGTGATAGTTATGATTGTTATGAGGTGAGCGGAAGTGGGTTTTAGTGGTCAGTGTGTCTAAGTTGTCAGTCAGAAAGGATGCTGATTGGAATCTCACCTCCATAACGCACTTTTAACTTACACCGAAAAAGGCTAAGGCCACAGCGAAAACAGCAACAAAAAATTCCTTATTATAGATACTACTTGTGCATTCTAGTCATCACAAACAACACATTGCGACCGATCACATGTCGTCGACAATCACGAACACCACAATCCAACCTTCAACATGCACTCAGTTACTGTCAATTTGTCCCCTAGTGTCTCTATAGGATCCACCGAGTGATAGTTTCTTCCACAAAGTAGTGGTCAGGCTATGTAGAGCAACAACTTCAAAAGCACGTCACACAGATTGTGTGTTATTGGTCTGAAACAGTTTTCCGCTGAGCTCTGTGGTTGCGCAACACTCGTGCATTCGCTAACTTAGTTATTTCAAGAAGAAATCAGTTAGTATCTTTCGGCAGTGTTGTGGAGCACCTACTGATGTTACTGTAACAACAGAAGACAAGGATCAGGCAACAGATCGTTTATTAAGGAAATCAAAGCATATTTATATATTTTCATGTACATTATTATAGATTATTTAAGCAAACAAATACAGTCTTCTGATTGGCTGTTTCTCACTTAAAGTTAATCTTTCATCTCTTTGTGACTGTTTCTGGAATGTCAGATCATCTATATGTTAACTGTATCCGCCTACGCAAAGTCTGCTGTGGTAGGTTTTTGAATCAGTCTTGTTCATATTTTCTCACGACAAATCTTGAGAACGTAAACATTGACGTAAATTACTGTCTACCAATTTGGCTAGTAGACAGCTCTCACCACATTACTATTTATCATTAATATTATCTCTACAGCTGCTAATGCTATTACCACCCAATGGCTGATGATCTAGTCAAATCGTTGTACTGCTTAATTTTCCATGGCGCGAATTGCCTGAAGTTTACTTGATTTCACTTTGATATAACCATTTACTCATGTCCCTGAAGAACAACTTGCATTCCCATGATTTCAATATACAAATAGGTATGTTTCGAAAGGACAAAACTGTCAAGGGTTGAAGCATGTATCACATCGAACAATATTCTGTATAACAGTATAATGTCGAATACTACTTTACTTGAAGTTTCCGTACAATGAGTGAATAAAACACTCTGACATGTATATAAACATACTGTCCAAAATAAATTTACTTATTCTTACTACTTCTATGGTTTCGGACTACTACTACTACTGTCCACATCAGTCAATCAGCAGTTATACTTCACAATACATTTGAGAGAAAATGCCAACGTAACCAACACCAATTAGAGAAGTATTGAAAACCAAGGGACACTAGAGACTGTTTCGTCCTGGTTTGGGACTCTTCAATGGTGCATACCCATGACTCCTCTAGGAATCGAACTAGGGACCTTCAGATTACGAGATCACTTGGACCGGAATTCAATAGGTGGTTTTGAAGTTTATCTTCTGTCACCAACTAATGTGACAGATGAGCATCTACTTGCCGTTGACACAGTTTTCAATGAATGTTCAGATGATATTGCTTCGTGATGAAATCTACACTCAACTTATTATAATCATTGTTATTATGAATACTACTATTGCTACTATATAGACAAATAAACTTACTAATATATCATACATAAGTAACTCTCGCAGTAAACCGTTATTCGAATTTTCCAAGTTCTTTATGATTGCCTGCCGAAATTAGAAAGGAAAACAGGAGACAATTATACTGTGTATTAATTAAGTTGTCCAGCTAAAATCTTTATTGTAAGAAGAGTACTGAATTTCATTTCTAACATGGATGCAGACACTGACTCACTGAATCTCTAAGCTAAAACGTAGAAATTTGCAAAAAGTGCACCAAATCTTGGGTTTCAATCTGTAGTTGTGTGATAATTCCGCGCCAAGAACGACACGGATATCTACAGCACTCTGCTTTTCAGCTTCTCCTCAGCTGAAATCGGATCGTGACGAACGGTGATTTGAAATCAGACAAATCCCCAAGTAGCCCAGCACTTGACCATCATATCCCTTAATTAATTGGTCGTAAGAATCTTTTGAGTCAATATCAGTCACATAATCTGGGAAATTTCATAATTTTCCTGCGCTTTGAAGTTTTCGTAGCGATTAGATTGATTTTATGTGTTTGGGTGGCTAGCCGCATACTCAGCATTTCCTTCTTATCCTGGCTTCCGACTGACTAGTAAAGTAGCCGAGGTTGAAAGCTACAGACTTTCATCAACATCTGCCTTCAACACATACACCGTTGGCCGGAAAGGATTGTCAACAAACTAATCAATAATCTGGCACCCAACAAATATGCAGAAATAAATGGAAATAGGTCGAGCAGACACCGAGGAGAATTGAATGACATTACGCACTAGACCACTTCTCAAGTGGAATATGACTGGTAAACGACGAGTTGGGCACCAGTCTGAGGCGGAAATGGGAGAGGTCATACTTAGCGGAAATGAAAGCTTATGGGTAATCGTGGAACCAACCAAAAGGGACTGTAGATGAGAGAGTAATGTGCTGATGTGCTATTGAGGCCTTTTATTCCCCTCCAGGCCCAAGGGAATAATAACAATAAAGGAATTATTTTACGCTTTCAGCTAGCTAATAATATTATTAGCTGTCGATACGCACAGATGGTAGTCTACCAGCCTCATCAAGAGCAAAATACACCTTATTGATATCGAAAGCAGCCTATAAAAGCCATTGGAGGAGGCTTCTGAGTTGCTGTGAGGCGATAGCCTTCCGTAAAACTAGGCATCACATAAGCCCAATCTGTGTGTGTCTGTATGTACAGAAAACAATTTATCATCACTCTGAACCTACCTTAGTGATCTTTATCTGATTATATTACCAAATTAAGTTTTAGTTATTCTTAAATCCTTTATCACTTTGTTTATTTTAATTAACCTTTCATTTTTCGTATAAATTGATTCCACAAGTAAATGTGTGATCAGATTGTTAGAAATGCACTGAGCAAAAGATACATCACACTACTTTCGTCAAATACCAATTCAGTCTTCTAACATGACTCTATCATAATTTATTAGGGTTATAAGTTATGTCAAATTAATTTGTTACAACGCGCCTTTGTTGGTAATAGGTTGATTAAATGGGTAATGAACTGATGAAGAAAGGTATACAGATTGAAATTCCCGTGTCTTCTCTAAAGAAACTTCTTCTAAGGTATACACAATGAACGTAAACTTCCTGTTCAATAAAAAAATGTATAGACAATCAGATGGTGTTGCCATAGAATCACCACTAGGTCCAATCCCAGAGGAATTTTTCATGGCAAAACTACAGAATGATTCTCTTAAAGATATAATACATAATCTTGATTTCTATTGCCGATATGCCATCGATCCATTTATAGTTGTAAAGAAAGGAAGTGAGGCTAAGCACATATTGGACAAATTCAATAAAGCTCTTTCTGGCATAAGCCTCACTTAAAGAAGAAGCAGAAAAAAATGTATCTTGTTTTTGGACGTCCTAATGACTAAGCGAACAGATGGAACAATATGTAGACGTTTGCATAGAAAACCTACTTCCACTGGAAAATATACTAACCTCTTGAGCTCCATGCCTCTATAATACAAACGTAATTTGGTTAGATGTCGGTTTTGCAGGGCTAGCGTTATCCGTTCAAATGAACAAAGAACTCGGTAATATTTGTGATCCACTAATTAGAAATGGGTATCTGACAGAATTCGTGAACAAACACATGAACTCAGCAAGCAAAAAGTCAAAGGTACCCACTGGTCCCAAAAAATCAATCTTATGAGGTCACAGTTGATGGGTGATGCCAATAGTGAGATTTTATCGCAACATCTGAAAAGGCCCTTTAAAAAGAACTTTCATAGCAGCTAATTTATGCTGTATATTCATTTAGTTCAAAAAATAAAAATAAAAACTGCCCTGTTTCTCCTCTTCCATGTGTATTTACCATTTTAACTGCTCGTGAGTAGCTAGTTACATTGAGCGTACGATCAGGCAAGTTCATCATCGAATTTCTGAACATCTCCCATGTTGGTTTGGCAAAGGTCCGAATAAAGACATACGCAGCTCACTACTAGCTCACCTCGTCGATACTGAACATCGAGCTGACGCTAATAAAGCTTTTAAAGTTACTTGTCTTATTTTGCCGACCTTTCACATACTCTTAGAGTACGAATTAACTTATCTTGAATTCCGTAATTAATTATTTTCACCCCTCCTTGAAAACTCAGATTTCTTGTGACTAACATCAATCAGATAATGAATTGTTTTGATGACATTTAACATCTTAATTTCCCACCCTTCTATACCTAAAACTAACTGACTAAAATAACCACTTGATTGGTAAAATTTTTAATATAAAAAACCATATATTATTATGTAGCCGATGATAAGGAACTAATTGCGATTCAAATTAATTTATTCGCGAATAATTTACTACTTTTTCTGTTCAAAGCAGTATATATGCGCACAAAAAATTAGAAAAAGTGAATCAGTAGGAAGAGACTCTTAGAAGACATTATAAACAAGTTGTGCGATAATACATATGGTTTATTTTGAAGTGATAATGTGAATTTAGACGAAATATGTAAGATTCTTATCATACTTAAACATAAAGCTATAAAGCTGAGTTGAGAATCAATAAGATTAGTAAGCTAACACATTACGCAACAAGATGTCAGAATTCTGATAAAATAACTCTGCGGAAATTATGTCGAATCAAATAAAGAAAGGATGTCAAGTTACATAACGTCAAAAATTGTTCAAAGTGAAAATAAATAAATACAACTGTAGCAAAATTTAGAACAGCACATTTAAGCGAACAATATTGTTTTTAAAACAATTAGTCCCTTTTATAAATTTGGATAGCGTTATTAGAAGATGGAGATTATCTGAAAAATGTGATTGATGTATTTGCGCTATACATTTCGAACAATCTAATCACACATTTACTTGTCAAGTCGATATATATGAAAAAATTAAATTAAACAAAAGTGTCGAGAAAAAAGGATTTGAGGATGATTAACACAACGTTTGGTAATCCAATCAAATAAGGATTACCAAGGTAGGTTATGGGTAGAGTATTAATAAACTGTTTTTGAATACACAGGGAGGGGGTTGCCTAAGTTTATGAATAGCTATAACCTCAGCGTATTTCAATAAGCGCCCTTGACCGTTTTTGTAGATGAACTTAAAGGCTGCGTTAACATCAATCTAATGGTTCATCTCGATTATATGTTTAGCCGTAGACGAAGTTGGTAGTCTGACACCTGCATCTAATGGTTTTTCGCAATTCATTTGTTTTTCTAACCATTTTCGGGATATGCTCTCCCACCTTGGTAATCCTTATTTGATTGGATTACCAAACGTTGTGTTAATCATCCTCAAATCCTTTTTTCTCGACACTTTTGTTTAATTTAATTTTTTCATATATATCGACTTGACAAGTAAATGTGTAATCAGATTGTTCGAAATGTATAGCGCAAATACATCACATTTTTCAGATAATCTCCATCTTCTAATAACGCTATCCAAAATATTGTGTTTCCAATTCCTTCTCATCAGGATTAACTCTAATATACATAACTTTACAAATAGAAATTCAAATATAAACCAATCATGGTGTTTTGTCTACAGGATAATAAGATGGTGAATATAAGTTGTGCAATTAGCCATGAGTATAATACCAACATAATGATGATTCTATCAATAACAAAGATGAAAAAGTGAGACGATCTGTGATGACAAGAATACTAGTGAAAAACAGCAACATGAAACTAACAAATGTGTTCAGATGGAAGCAATAGTCGATGAAGGTTAAGAAAAACAAATAGTGAAATTTTAGTAATGCTAAACTGTAATTGGGAAGGAAGTAAGTTATTTTTTAGTGGAGATTTGATAAGAAGAAGGGATGATAAGTGAGGGGTTGAAAATATAAGTACGGTGTGGGGGAGACGTCATCAGTTGGTTGGGTCTTAGTTGGCTAAGGGAGGGACAATAGTTGTACAAACTTCTTTTGAATGCATAGTTTAGGTTTAATAGTTCGAATGCTTATTACCTCAGCTGTGTGCAGTAGACGAATACGAAGTCTATTGCAATGATTCGTTAGAATGCGATGAATTACCTTAAAGACTTTCGTTTTCTCCGTTGAATGATCACTAATGACTATTGCTTCCATCTGAACACACTTGTTAGTTTCATGTTGCTGTTTTTCATTAGTATTCTTGTTAGCACAGATCGTCTCACTTTTTCATCTTTGTTATTGATTGAATCATTATTATTATTATGGCTAATTGCACAATTTATAGGGACAGTATTATCATCCTATTGACAAATCACCGTGACTGGTCTATATTACAATATTTATTTGTTATGTAGGCATATTAGAGTTAAGCCTAATGAGATGTAATTGAAAACACAATATCGTTCGCTTAAATGTGTTGTTGTAAAAATAATTACAATACCTATCGAAATAATAAGGGTTGGATTTATATATTTCATAGTGTAGCATAATCAGCAACAGCATAATTTTATATCAGGCTAGATAACGAATTAATACGATTTAGGAAAGGATGTAAAGGAAAACAGGAAATATTGAACAGTTGTTTCATTCAAACCTAGGAATTCTTGGTGGTAGTCTAATATACATGACCTAAACGGAGGTCACTGTTGACGTTCAGGTTAAAGGGGGAGTCTCTCAGCTATTCAGCCATTGGGATAGAATCCAGAGACGCATTAATTCGTGATATGGACCACCCCAATGCCATCCATTGTTATGTGGCTATTTGCCTCACAACTGATCTCTGCTGGACACCACTGGTCTGTATTTCACGCTGGTACTTCTGCAACTCAATCTCATAATCAGTCATTCAAGTATCGGTTTGTAGCAGTTTGATTGGGTCCACGGATGCATCCTGGTGAAGATTCCAGAACTGACACGAAATAGCTTCATACTCCTACTTGGTTTTCAATGCTTGGTTATATAACTGATATGTTAGTTTGTGGTGTAACGTGGAAGCAGTTAAACGATGGCAAACTAAAACTGGATGATTTTATTTGAATGATTGTTGTAGATATACTATCGAACAGGTAGACTAATTGTATAACCAACTTGTGAATCCGTGTAGTACCTTATGTACAGTAGCACTTTAGAGATTAAGTTGTCGCATGTAGATATAGGCAAACCAAAAAGAGAGGAAAATAAGAGAATTCTACCCCAGAGGACAAATATGAATACGGTGAAATACTGTTTTAGAACATGGCTAATAAAAATATGTGTATACATCAGCATCACCTTAGACTTTGTATCAAATATACCTTCAAAAGCTTCTAGTTATTAGTTTTTAGACTTTCAAGCACCCTTAAGACAAGCCATCCACTCTCCCATATATAGGAATCAAGCTAACACCATCAAATACTGAGTGGATTGGTGCCATGTTTTTGACTTAACTACCTCAACACACTCCTCATCCTCGTCTAGTTTACCAGCAGCAGAGGATAGTAATCCCATAGAAGATAGGAGGTGGAGTGGACGCGGCCAGAAATTGCATCCTTAAACAAATAAGGGAATATCGCCGCTAACTTCAAATCCTTGAAGCCCTATATTCCACTCAGAAAGCAGAGAATGAAAAAATGTCCCACTGTATATCGGACTACACTGTCCGTCGAGGAAAGGAGTGTCTTAATTATTATTATTGTTGTTCCCTTGCGTTTCTAGTGGAACATAGGGCTTCAACTGCACGTCTCCACTTGCTTCTCTCTTCTGCTGTACTTTTCACCTGCATCCATGTTAGTCCATACTGTTTCAGTCCCTCTTCACACGATCTTCTCCATGTCACCCTTGGACGTTCCACTCACCAGTTCCCTTTCGGGTTCCACTCGAGGATCTGACGCGCTATGTCACCCAGCAGCCTCCTCAGCGAGTGTCCAATCTATCTTCACTTTCTCCTGCATATTTGTTGGGCAAGGGGGTGTCTTAGTGTGTAACATCCACCCAATAAATTCCCCACTTAAATCAACTAACTGACAAGAACAGCCTACTGAACCTCAAAGAAGGTTTGTCCATCGGAGACCCATATGAAACGGTCAGCTGAAAAGTCTCTACAGTTTTCTGTCTGTTGAACAAGAGCATCCGCAGTAACGATGCTATGAGCGAAGAATTAGAATTTCTGAAAAACTCCTAACCCCAAACGGATAACTACTGATATTTACTGGAAAGAATATCAAACCAAAAGTTCAACGAGACGAAACGTCATCTGCACCAAAAAAGAAAATTTTCATAAACCTTGATTGAAAGGGAGACTTAAACTTCAATGTCTTTAAGAGAAGAATCTCACCATCTTTTAGAGGAATATTCTCAGTAACACTAAGCTTAGTCTTCTCCAGTCGTTCACTGATCTGCAGAAACCTTGAGGACAAAGCCATTTCTGTGTGCACATATATCAGTCCACCTGTTCTTGAAGAGCCAAGCATACTGGTCATTCAACACGTATGCTGCCCAAAAAGGTTCAAGAACACTATCGCACACGGTTGCAGAAAGGTAATAGTGACTTTATAAGGAGTGTGATAACTGTCTCAACAAACTCCTTCAAAGTAATATACAGAGTGGGGAAGAACTTGGCAAAGAAAATACGCTCTCATCTCCTCCACATTGCTGAAAATCTAGTAGACAAAAGAAAATTATTCAACCACTTTTAACACTTCTAGCCTGCACGCTTTTCTCTATTTTATCAAAACTTACTTTCTGTAGCTATGTAACCAATTATTAGTGTTAAAGCTCTTTCTAGTTAAATTTTATTTCTACATATGGTACATTTTTTTTTCCTATCATGGTGTAACAGTAGAAGGTAAGACGTGGAATCAAATGTACATTTTTAAGCTATCAGACAACTATTTATATCTGTACTATTTCCATTCATTAACCAATCACTGAGCGTGTAATTTGGTTTACATTAGACGGCATGAAATAGAATGTTCAAATAGATATATCGTATTCTGTTGCTAATGCCGTATTGAACTGTAGGATTATGTGAGAATAATATTCCGTTGGAACACATTGTCTGTATCACACCACTACAATGGTAATAACCTTGTTATTGTTTTTTTGACCTAACTGATTTTGTTTGTTTTGTTTTTCAACCCTTTATACCTCTTACATTACTTTTGGAACTCTCACGTTTCGTTTCTATACTTATCTTGATTACAGCTCATTGGTATTAGGATTTTATCATGAGCTGACATCAGTTAGAGAACAATTGGACAACTGTTTCGTCTTAGTGCCTGGGTCTCTTCATCAGTACGCATCCACCACACACGTTTGAACCCAGAACCTTCTGGTTACAAGGTGAGCTCGTTGGTCATTAAGCCACTGGGACGCAATCCAATCGTCCATGAATTCTAATTCATGATGAAATCCTGAAACCATCCCTGCAAACCAACACTTGAATATCATTCATATTAAGTTAATTATCTTATTGAGTAACTCTTAATGCTGTCACTCAATTTCTCTTATGTATTGATGAATAATATTAGCAACGATCATAATGACACCTTATCACTACGGTTATTATCCTCTCTTGTGGAAAAGATGTTATATATAAATGCGATTGTACAGTTAAAAAAAGGAGGGGATGAAGTCTCAGAAAAGAGACTTGATGCTGAACTAAATGTCTTACTCTCTTCATTAATCATCTCTGTATAGAAAAAACAACATAAACTTACCATGGGATCACGGAATTGATTGACAACAGGTTTACATGGAACTGACATGGCTCGACTTGCAAATCTTAACGTAGACAACTAAAAATAATTGTGAAATGTATAGAACGTGAGATGTGTAAACAGTGAATATGTTTTGAAAATGGAGAAAAAGACGCACAGAAGAATAATCACTAAAATTAATAGAAGGTAAGGGAACACAAGGCAGTCGAAAATTATACCACTTTGAAGTGTCCATTCAGTGGTCTGTTAAGATTCAGATGAGTTTATAATTGAATTTCATACGCGCACACCAGCTGATTAGGGAGGGAATAAGGCATAATAAATAATCTCTTATTACCCTAGTGGTAACTAGGCGTCTTTAGTCTGCTTTTTTTGTGCTTTTTTGTGTCACAATTTTTGTCGTTTTCTGATTACAACACACTGAACTGGACTCACTACTGACCTTTCAATTTTCACTTAACTACTTGTTTACTTAACAGTTTTTATCTTCTACTGACCGCATCTTTTCACTCCCACCCTCTCATCTTACATTTAGAGAAACTCTAGTTGTTCATTTAAAAACTATCTTTCATACATACCCCTTGTTTCACGAAGAATTCTGTTGCACCCTTTAGTTGTCGTTGTTTTTTCATATTCAGTTAAAAAAACCTTTATTTCAGTCTATTTCAGTAACTATTCCAGCCGCGCCTGTCTTCATTAGGAACTATTTCACATAATTTTTGATGTGTGGAGGCAATCGACAGGAAGCCTTGGACCTAGGTTTCATGCTAGTTGGCACTCACCAGTCAGCAAGGCGTATCTGCAACATGGAAGGAACTCATGTCCCTTTTGAGATTCGTACCCGCGTCATCCAGTGCTACCAGCAGTCAGAGACGTTACCACTGAGCTATTTGAGCTCGTGACTGACCTCCAGTAGGACTATAGTTATACTTTGATTGGACACTAGTAACTAGTGCGGTGTGTCTAGTCCTTTCTTTGGCGCCGATTGCCTCCAACCATCTAATATTATCAAATCAATGTGCACCAAGATGGCGAGCTACCTAGAATGGTGGCCACATTGCCAACCTGACTGATAGAATTCAGTCTGCACCGAAGATAGGACTAGACACATTACGCTAGATACTGACTAGTGGGCAATCAAACTATTTTACACGTTAAGCAACTATTTTCTATTCCCCTTGTAATCTGTATTCACACCTTCAAAACTTTCTAATCAAGTTGAAATTTATTATCACACGTAATCTTCCTGTTAATTTATTGGAATGAATAACAATTGAAAACTATGTACAGTTATGTATATGAATGCGAATGTACATCTGCTTCTGAGAATGAAATCTCCAAAAAGATTTCTTCTTTCCTCTCTAAAAGCATTCATCAAGTGACTAACGCTGAAGTCGGCAAACTGAAATCTATCGATCAGAGAACCTGTAATATTGATATGAGAATAAAACTTGGGTACTGTGGTAGAGTATAATTCCAATACGGATCGAATTTTATTTTGATAAAATCATACAATGTTGTTATACAGTAATATTAACTGATGCGACCACGTTTCGAACACAATTCATTGCTGCTCATAGTCATATCAAGGCACTCACTCACACAACCTTCTTGCTTCATTTATATACATGAGTAAAAATTGACTTGACATATGAACAAAATCAATAAAAGACATGCGTGAAACAGAAAGGAAGATAAAGTACATTCGGAAATAATATGAGTGTTATCAATAAAATACAGTAATATGGGAAATAAGACGAGTGCTGTTAGTCAGTTAGATGGGAAATAAGATTTTTTTATATTAAAATAAATAACTTGTTAGAATGTTATAGTATGAATTGAAATACATTTTAACATTATTTATTATTCTCTGATTTGACTGGTAATAATATCTTCCATATCTCTGGCATTTGCTTTGAGTTACTTCTATTGCATGTGTTGGGTGTAGATTCGATGAACCAGGATTCAGTAATCAACCTCTCTCTCTCCACCTACCTAGAATGTGCCTGCATGTCACGCCGGTAACCTAGCATAGGCAACTTACACTTGGCAGATTACAGTGCACTGGCTTTTGCCTGACTGGCTGATTGACCGAGTTTAAAGGTAGAACTTTGATCAGAGGTGCAGCACTTCCACTTGTCACACTCCATGTAGCAAACGAGGTAGACAAAAGCGAGGAAATCAAATTCAAAAGAACTGCAACAAGCAGGAGAAAAAAAACATGACCGTTTATTGGACATGCGAAATCAGCATGAGTGAATGCGTCTATAGTCTCAGGTCAGTGGTTTGTAGCCCCAGGTCGTATACATTTCACTGTATGACTCATACCAACAGTCAGTGACTTCATGAACTGATACCAGGTTTTGATTTGACCACCTCTAACTCTTTTCCAAATGAATCCTATGTCAGGTATCATTGCCTCTTGAGGAAGGTGATGACTCTGCATAAGTAAAACGTGTCATAACCACCTCAGTAGAGGTAACTTCAAAATCTTGGTACTAATTAGCTAATTATGGTAGACTTTAGGATGTATATAACACATACAGAACAATCTAGAACTTACTGTTTCATTTAAATACTCATATTTATTCCATACATTTGCTATTAGGATAGTCTGACAACGTCCACCAATACTATTTTTCAAGTAATGTGTTAACTTCGATTGTCTATAGGGTATATAATCTCTTGACTGGTCAGATAAGGCCAAAATAGTCTGTTCAAGAAATGTTAACGATCGATTGATGTAGGTTGCTTCCTTGAAAAGTTTATCAGTTGTCTGAATTGGTGCAAAAAAACCAGGAACAGCAAAACAGGAAACTATCAGAAGTGTTAAATCTGTGAGAAAAATTGCAGATTAAATATGTTTTTATTTACTCAATTAGTCATCAGAAATATGAGTGAAAAATCGCCACAGCGAATTCTAAACAAAAAGAAGACATAGTGATAATAATTTGAATATTCACTAATGAACCAAAAATTGCCATATATTCAGTCATTAATGGTACCTGCTCTTTGGAAGAAAATAAAGATTCTACCTAAAGGAAAATCATCATCACCATCTTCTGGATCAGATTTAAGGCTTAGACCAATCGTCATCACAGCTGAATTTTCGGGAACTATGGAGAAACTTCTTTTGATTGTTCCTAAACTCTCATTAAATTCTTCGAGTGACCCTATGCAATTAGCTTACAAATGAAATAGAGGCACTTTAGATGCTGCCATTTTACTGCACGACAGTTAAACACTGTTGCTTTCGATTTTGTTCTTAGGACACGTTCGGTCGATAGGCAAGCTAACTCCACCACGCACTGAGTCCTAGGTTACATGGTGAAAGCAAACAGCACACTGTTGTTAATGGGAAGCTCTCCACTTCTTTGTTTACTGAATCTTTTGCACTTGAAGGTGTTGTTCTATCCTCCATCTCTTGTTACATATATTACCGATTTTATTAAATATGTTGATCACCTAACAATTTCTGTCCCAGTTGTTTCTGAATTAGACTGTTATGATATGAACAGTTTCAGAAATGAACAAGACTTGAGTGGACTTATTCAAGCGCATGACTCTCGAATGTTATCGACAGCACTTCAGTAGGAAGTAAGTCAAATACTCGCTATCTTGGTATCAGTTACTCCCTTAGTCGTTCTTGGTTGTATCACAGCTTTTTTACTGATTTACAACATATAAAGATTGAGACTTTTTGACATCATAACTCAACCTCTTCTCTTACAATTTATTAATTCTACCCATCCTTCTTTATTCTTCACTCTTGTTCTTCCTTGGGCTTCTCAAAAAAGAACTATATTATATTACATAGAACTTTAGAAGCTGTAAGCAGTGGTATGTCTTTGACCCAACTGAGTGACACACTGTTGTCTGGTAGCTATACGCTAAAAATATCATTTTCTCTCATACTGAACATCCTCTCTATTATTCGCAACTTTCTGCTTGTATCTTTTTGAGTGAAACCAAATTTAGCACGAATGTTCTGTGAAGAGAGACAAGTATCAGGAAAGAACCTATTAAAACCTACTTTATAATCTGTGAATGAACAACAACTTATTACTAAAATTATTTTTACTACATATATTACTTTTCTACTAACTTCAGTTTCTGCAATTTTATTAGTTTTTTTTTACTATTTTATGTATTTATTTATTTGTAAAAGGAGATGAATTGTTGCGATATTTATAAAACGCTAAAGATTCCATTCTATATACAAATTACTGTTTAGAATAAAGTACTTATTACTATCATTAATTGCAGAGAAGAACGTTACTCAACAATCTCTTGCACAATCCTATGCAATTGCCAATGAACCATTCCTATCGTGTGGGGGTTAGCGATCTCACCTAGCAGCTGTCAAAACCTCAGTAGGCGGAGCAGGACCCGTGACCCATTGATTGGAAGTAAAGCGCCAAAACTAATGAGCTACACAGCTGCACGCAAATGAAGATGCATCAGAAAAGAAAACTTTCCCTTTCTTTGATGAATCATTTGCAAAAGCTGCTGAACCATCGTATTTATATTCGACAGATGAATTCACACGACCATTAAAATACTAATCACTATTCTAGAAAATGCAATATGCAATGTGAGTTGAAATCTAGAAGGGATTGTACAACTGGAGATTAAGAGGAAGAGAAGTTGGAATTACATGATAAGTGTGGGAAAATGACCCAGTCAGACTAAATGTGCAAAATGGACAAAGACTAGTGCGAATTTGGTAGTGCTCAGATAAAATCTGTATGAGGAAATTTTTTATTAATAAATTGCAATATTAAAGATTGTTATATGATAGTAAGAATAAACTAAAATATCAAACCGCAAAATGGAACGAAATCACAACAAAAGTATTACTCCAGTTATAGTAGTGCCGGTGGGTATGAGCAATGCTTTTGAAGGTAGAGTTCCGGTTTTAGGTCCCGGAAAGCCAGTGTTTTGGTTATGTATAAGTAGTGCACTCGAAGTCCACTCATGAGATATTGGGGGATTCTGTGTATCATTGTGAAGCAGACACACGGGAATCCTCGATGTCCAGGGTTGACAAGGTGCTCGACAACAGAACTGTTCGCATTCTTCTTTTCTCCTCTGAGTATCCAAGTTTGACCTTGTTCCAAAATACATTTGCAGCACTGACTCTGTTTACGGTCAATGTACTTGGCTTCACAGGACATTTCTCACACGGATTACATGTAAAAATGTTCATCGTATTTCCACTAACTCTTCTCGACTTTGTATATTCACAATGATCGAGTAATTTTTCTGCATTTATTACGCGATTCCAACTTCTCTTCCTCTTAATCTCCAGTTGTACAATCCCTTCTAGATTACAAATCACGTTGCATAATACATTTTCTAGAATAATGACAAGTATTTCAGTGGTCGTGCGTAAATTTATCTCTCGTATATGAATAGATTTTGCAGCAGCCTTTGAAAATAATTCACCGAAGACAGGGAAATTTCCTTCAATTCCACCTTCTTTTAGTTTATGAATCAATATGGGAATTTTCGGTTTATGAATGAATATTCTAGTCACCAGTTTATTGTAATTTTAGAATAATTTCAGTATGGATTTCGTCTCAATTTGAAGTCAGAGATTCATTACAAAACCAGGGAAGGCACTGGATATTTGTTTCGTCCTAGTTTGAAAGTCTTCATCAGTGCGTACTAGCAACTATACCAGGGATCGAAAGCAGGATCTTCAGATTAGGACTCAAATTTTTTGACTGTAAAACCTCAAAGTTAGAATCTAGTGAATCATGTGTTCTAACCCCTTTAAATTCGTAAAACAGCACTACTACAGGCCAGTGTCATTGACTAGCATCCATTTTCGATCAGACCTCAATGATTACGAACTGTCAAAAGAAATTCTGAGGACACTATTGAGCAAATAATTGACATTCATCCAACCAAACGTGAGATTATGCTCTTAGAAATGATCTTGACCAACTTTATGCTTAAAGATAGAGAGTGATGTGGTTGGGGAGATTAGACGTGTGGCTAGTAACCCCAATGTATGAATATAATACAATACCACCACTAGTGAAACTTCAAAAAGCTCTTGAAGCCCCCTAAGAAAAGAAATGAAGACAAAAAAAATATTTAAAAAAAATCTAACCTGAACTCCTTTTAGCCTTTCTGAACCAGCTAAATCCACATAATGAATTTTACTATATCTCGTATATCCATCACTACTATCCATGGGATCAACTATTTCCAGGTAGACTGTTAGTATAACATGTGAACGGGACGATGAATGATTCATTACATGTGATGCAGTTGTCCGATTCAATTCACCCTAAATGAAAAATAAAACAAATAGAAATCTAAGTCAGTGGAATAAAATCAAGGTAACCAATAACTACGAAGTAACATCGGTTGGGGAACAGACACTTGCTAAAGACACTGGCTAGTATCAGAAGTTAGAATCTATGGTCACTGGTTTAATGATCATTTGGGTTGCCTCATAACCTAAAGGCGCTGGATTTCGTCCCCCTCCTCTACGCAGACTAGGACAAAAGACCTGTCCAGTACTCCCTGGTAGTTTTCAATAATTGGTTCTTAAATTGATGTCAGTCAGTAAAGAAAGAAAGAACAGATTTGCAGTATAACATGACATCATTCTATTTCATAGATCCTTGTCAGTTGCATACCATTACCTGGAATAACAATAGTTATAAATAACTAGTGAAAATAATAATATACTTCAATGTTTGAATAGTAGTAAAGAAAACACTATAAAATCGACGCATCCGAAATATAAGCAATGCAATTTCTGGCTTAATTTACCGTCAGTTTATATGCTTTTGAAGTAGAAAAGGAGGTGAGAGGAGAAGACAGAAAAATCTAATAAACAAACAGTGTTAGCAGCTCAAGATGGTTATAGAGCATAGGATTGAAAACTTGCTCAGTGAGTTGAAATCACTAATATATAGATGAGTAATCAATGTAATCAAAATTTAGTTACCAAAGGAGTGAGCGAGAGATTGATTACACTCTCTTTCTGTAAGCATAAGTTTAATTCGAAAGGCTTGACTGCAGCTGCTTCCGCAAATCGGGGTAAATTTGCTGTCATTCGTATGCCTAATGTTTTGAAAGATTTAGACATCTCGACGGAATGGCCAGTATCCACATGGTGTCTAGCAATTGCACTTTGTAAATATCTGCTTCCTTTAAGACACAAGTTTCTTGGGATATGCTCTGAAAACTAGGTAGAAGCACTTCTTTCTGTCCTTTCAATGTACTTGCTCCCGCTAGTGGACATAAATTTATAAACGCAATTAAAGATGACATCATTGGGGTAATTATGCATTTTAGATTGGCTTAAAGAGTATGTGGTATAGTTGATGAGAACCTGTGAAATAGAGTGGTATCATTTTATATTGAGAATCTGGTCTTTCTTTTCTTTTTATTGAAAATTATGAGGGGAACCAAATATATAAAATGATGTCAGTCAGTTCATGGTGTGACTTGAAACATAATAAACTCCCTCTGCAAAGCAAACAACACTTGAAAATTTGTGGACTGATTAATTAATTACTAAGCATAATGAAAGTGAACTGTTCAACATAGTATATGAGGGAAACAAACAAGTTAAGAGAAGGGATATATTGCTTTTCAGTTAGATCCTTTTAGGTGGCTTTGCTCTAAGATATCACATGCAATTTATCAAGCCATTTTTGATTCAATGGTAGACTGCACGCCAGGCATTTCGGAGGTCTGGGTCTGATTCTCGGCAGCCGATGAACTTATATAAACCTAGCCTAGGTTACTAGTAGCTGATGGTAAGCTCAGAAAAGAAGGGAAGTTGGTTGGGGTGAGGGTAAGTCTAGTAACTTCACACCATAAAGAGAACAACACCTCCACTGAAACTTGACAGTTCAAAGTTCCACTCAGAACACAAAGGAATAAAAATACAAAGAAAGAACCGTATTTACTGACAGAAAGATTGTAGATTATATTAATTTCGCAGGTAACTTATGCCTAATGGCACATAAATTCGAATACTTACAGGCAAAGACCAACAGGTTAGCAAGAGGGGTAGTCAACGAAGGAAGGACATCAGGTGAATATAGAGAAGACACAGGGGATGAAGATACTTAACCAACAACAAGAAGCACCAATCATGGTCAGCGGGAGAAATTTGAAGGAAGTTGCCTCCTTCGCTTATCTAGGCAGGATGGTTTCAACCACAAGCGCCCCGAATGAGGATGCCAAGGCCAGCCAGTCAGAATCGGAAAAGCAAGCCAGAGCTTCATCGCTATGAAATCAGGCTGAAAATCCCCTACACTAAACACAAGGAACAATATTCGCTTTCCCAACACTGATGTCAAATCAGTTCATAGTCTTGGCGCGTCACCAAAATCACCTGCATCTGGCTACTGCAGACTTTTATCAACACCTGTCTTCGTTGTCTCAATAGTGAATATAAGATACCTAGTCAGCAAAGATAAGGAACAAGGAACTGTGACAATGAACCAAGCCAGAACCAATTATGTGAGCAACAAAACTGCCTGATGAAATAAAGGCAAGCGAATTGGACATACACTGAGCAGGTCGTTGAATGACTTCACCCGCTAAGTCATCACTCAAGTGGAAATTTACCAGGAAAAGATGAGCTGGGCGTGGGTTCAAGGATGACATGGAGTTCGTGTGAAGTGGAAATGGAAACTTGTAGAGGGAAATTGAGGAGAAAGGTTAAAAAGATTACAGTGATCAGAGTGAAATGACGATATGCTGCCAAACTCAACGGAATAATATTAACACGTATGTATATTACCTCGAATAATACAGTCAACGCTTCTTCTACATTATTCACAGTGATACACTTCAATCCTTTGATATAAACCTGATCATTAGATTCAGCTATTTGTAATAAATCCGGTGATTGTTTACGCACGGTTTTACTCGTTGAAATATCATTCAACAAATCAATAATTTGTTCATTGTATATTTCAAAATATGATAATCTGAAATAATCAGCAGAAAGTAAGGCATATATTCACAGTTAATTAAAATAATGCAGTAAACAGGGAAAGAGTTCTCTATCTCAATAAACTTCCAAAGAATAATTAGCATCAAGGAAGAACATTCTTTTCTATAACTTCCTTTTCTTCATCAGATTCTGCATTATTGTATTTACATAATAAATTAGAGAACTTAGAGAGCTTCGTGCTTGGGAACATCCACCAGTGTGCTTAAATAAATGTGTACCAGGAGCCATCAACAGGTCGATATTAGACAACCTAGTTCAAACGAATATATCATCTCTATTGGGTACCAAACAAGCTGTGAAACATCTCTAGGTATCGAATAGGCTATAGCAATTTAATTAAAGCACTCGGATCTGTGTGTGCAAATGAAACAGGTGAAGCCAATATTGTGACCTTGCCCCTTTAGGAAACCTTTATATAGATTCATAAATTCTGTATTATCATCTCTCATAACCAACTTAGCATACTATCAGTTACAAATGCTCATGAACTGTAATCTATAGATCTTAGTGATTCGGTTTTTATTTATAGACGTGCTTTAGCTCACCTGTAGTAGATAATGAACATGAAGTTGATGTATCAGGGAGGCATTCAAAGTTATCTATGGTCTTCCCAAGGCTAACCTTAATTTTATCTCACGGGTTCGTATTCTAAATATAACTGAAACCATTGGAATCCAAGTAAACAGAAGCCAAATCTATTCTTTGCTGAATATTCTTTCTGGCTTTTAAGGTGGGTAGATGGGAAATTTCTCTGTTATGAATTTACTATCAAGCTGTACAATCGTACATGCATGATTTTACGTGTTCCATTGAACCTAGGTATATTGGTTGTTCTAAGAAGGTTTCGTCCATATAAGTTGCAAGAACATTAACCTGGATGGTCATGAAGACGTGGAAGCGGATTAATAATCAGTTATTTAGTCGACAGTAGTCATCTTATCCACCCAACATCTCTTCCTCGAAAGTTATCACCCTGTAAGGTGAAAAACAACCCCTCAAAATCATTACGTGTCTGACACATCTGTAGTGCAGAAGTTTTGGTCATTGAAATAGAAAAGCCACAGTTCTGTTTAACAAGTTCTTCTTTCATAAGCCTAATCCGTCCGTGATAAACTATTATAATCCCCATTTTCTACTTTGGTCTCATTTATTTCAAGTTTTCTTTGCACAATCTCCCTAATTATTTCGACTGGTATTATAATTATTTGTACAATGAAGAATTTCCGGTGTTACCTCACATGTCACACTTCATTTATTGGATTTGGTATACCATTTATTCAATTCTCTCCAGTCAGTATTCACACCCTTTAACTAAATAACATATTTGTCAGCTATTTCATAGACTATATTTCTTATTTTACAGCTTGATGTTTAAATGTCATTGTGTTCACAAATAATTTACACTAAAAGGACGACTGCGAACTAATCAGCTGGACAGCTGTACATTCGTGTATTTCTGTGGTAAATGGGTGGGAACGTTTCTGAACTATTTTCGGCTGGTTAAGGGTCAAGTTAATAAAATTTCAAATAGGGATTAGAAACGTAATAATAACAAAATGGACAGGAACTTCGGATAAAAAACATAGTAGTGCAGATAGGAATTTTAAAAAACATGTAAAATTAACAGAAATAAACAGGAAGATTGGACAAGAAACATAAAAGAGAATAACCACTATATTGAGGACTGATGTTTTATGTTCAAGACCCATGCTATTTATCCGCCATAAATATGTCCAACATTCGTCTTCACACCATGGCCATCATAAAACGTCAATCCCCAATATAGTGGTTATTCTCTTTTATGTTTCTTGTCCAATCTTCCTGTTTATTTCTGTTAATTTTACATGTTTTTTAAAATTCCTATCTGCACTACTATGTTTTTTATCCGAAGTTCCTGTCCATTTTGTTATTATTACGTTTCTAATCCCTATTTGAAATTTTATTAACTTGACCTTTGACCAGCCGAAAATAGTTCAGGAACGTTCCCACCCATTTACTACACAGATACACGAATGTACAGCTATCCAGTTGATGACTTTGTCGATAAATTTCTCCACTGAAACCATCTTTTCAACATTCCCTATTATCTAATGTGTGCATTGGTCACACAGCGGTAGACAGCTCACCAACAGCGCGGATGGTACGGGATTCGATCCCTGGCCGACGCATTCCTGTACCTCGCTAAGCCAGTAACAAAGACTGGTGAAGAGGGAAGGTTGGGCATGAGGCTAGCAACCCCATCCCGTAAAAAATAAAAACAGTTGATATAAGTATAATGTGGTAGAGTGTAACTCCATTATGGATAAGGTTTCAGTTTTGATAAATCACACAGTGTTATACAGTAGTATTAACTGATGAAGTTTCGAGCACAAACTATTCCTCATAATCACATCAAGTTACTCACACAACTTTTTCCTTCATTTATATACATGAGTAGAATTGATTAGATATTTGAATAAAAATCAATATAGGATAATGTACATTCAGAAATAATAATATGAGTGTTATATTCAATATTATAAGTGTACTTTTCCCAGGAACGCGTAGCTGAACACTAACCAGTCTGTCTGCTGTTAGGCGAATGACAGGATGACAGAATTATCTATTGGCGAGCAACTCCTTGTGTCCGATTTATCCTCTAAATTTATTTGCAGGGCTAAATGCAAGCACTCTTAATAATCTGATAGGAATGTATGTGAAAATAATGAGGCTTTATGAAGTGTGCGAATAAACGCAGGTCAGGTTAAATATGAGCATATTAATTGAGCAATTTTTAATGCAAATTAAGGACTTTAGTTTAAATACACCCATACAGTCTATTGAAATGAAGTCATTGAAAAACAAATATATTTCTTCGCTATATTTGCATCCCTTATGAATGAATGAACAAATGGTTGTAATTCTCGATTTGAATAACAATAATATCATTAGTAAAAAAGGTTCCAAGAAGTGCGGAATTCACAATCGTTCATTGGAAAAAAGAAAGTGAAGCATGGCGGTGGTGTTGTCATCAAAGTGTATACTAAATCTGTGTTATAGGGGCAAGTTACTCAGGTCACGGAAGTCAGCTTTTAACCATATGTTTCAACAATCAAATAACATTGGAGTTATAGATGGTACACACACCATCCTTTCACACACATACTTCCGCAAACACTTATTCTACAGCACATCACACCAACACACACACACAAAGATTTATGCATCATCTACCTGCCTTTATGTTTACTTTCCAGCCAACAAATATATATCAATCACATCGATTCACCTAACTTCATCCACGCTGTCATCATGTACCATTTGAGACAGATATTTCAGCAATTTTGTGATTGTCAAGCGACTCATTAAGAAGTTCAGTTCACGTGGATTGATCTGAGTTTATTTTCCTCCCTTCTACTCAGTGTCCCTTGATCACTGACTTTTTCAGTCTGTCTACTGTTTATGTGCGTGTTCGGGTATGTTTACAAAGGAATTTAGTCATTCATCGGTGGCAGACTGCATGACGATTTGTACTGAGGATGGTGTTTGTGCATTCCAACAGACATGATGAGGTGCGTGTGTGTGTGAGATATAAATAGGCGGTGGTACACATTCTAAGCGGAGAGAGGCACACGGACACGGAAACGGGCAGGAAAGCAAACTAAATCCCGAATTAATGCACACAGAAGAGGATAGACATTGATTTGCCTGCATCATGAACATAGTGATTTTCACTGATGTGAGGAGCGATCCCGTAGCAATAGTGGCGACAACTATTGAGCAAGTAAATCTAATGTGAGTGTGTGTATCAGTCAGCTTGAGGTTCCATGCAATTGTGTGCGCGTGTTGAATGTTGTATCGACTATACTTGATTGGTAGATTGTGGTGACCATCATATTGATTGACTTGTCGCATGCACGATTTGTGGACGTGACAGGGAATTTGATGTTGCTAATATTATCGCTGAGCTATTTTTTTGGTGCAGGTTAAGCGCGCACGATGACAGTGGGACTCGAACTCATACCGTCTAGGAATTGTGGCCTAAACCAGCACCCTAGACCACTCGGCCAATCCACACCCATCCGCGAATCTAACACATCTGTCATACTCAACACTTAATCATACAATAAACAAACATACCACACAATATTCCTAAATCCTTCATTTAACACAAGTCAACTGCTTTATCTATGACAATCTACGGAAAATTGTGTACATCTTACAGGATCAGTGTCCTGAATTTCTAATGAGATATCATGGTATGGGGGTCCACCATATCAAGCTGACGTGGATGTTCATCAAAGGTATTGATTTTCGGCTGTATCAAAGCATCGCGAATAAACAGAGGTTAGAACTAATAAGTATTTGGATTGCAACACAATAGCTAAATAACCGACGGGCAATCTTCACAACCTGTAGGACCCTGGAGTCGTTATCCTGTGGAGTCATAAGTACACACTACAGAAAGATCCCATCTAAGAAGAGGAAACAACTGTTCATTGTGCACTTTATCTTTCAGCGGTTCCGTAACTGATATCGTCTATGTCCATAACACGAAATATCTATTCAGAATTAATCCAAATTCCCATTCAAACCCCGAACAAAAAACCATCTTGATAACTATTTACTTACTTTACAGTAATTGAAAGAGTCGACCTGTTTTGAATTTCTTCAAATAAATGTGCAATTCCCCTGGGTATAATTCCACGATCATCATATAACTGGGATAATCCACTCATTGTATACGTTTTCCCAGCTCCTGTCTGTCCATAACACATTATAGTTCCTATAAGGAAGTAGAAATTTATGCATTTCAAATAATCTTCAGTGAGCATAACAAAAAACAACTAATAGTGAATGAATAATTCAAATAAAACCTTATCTGGTTTACTAGCGCGTTCTAAGCTTGGAAAAATAGGAGAGGGCGGTGGAGTGAGTCGGGTTAGTAACCCCATCTCGTGATAAAGAAACAACCCAATGATCACAGAAACTTCAAAGAACAGAAAGAATAAACTTTCTCCCTACCTAGAAGTTAGGAAGACCTCTCAGTATGAGGGTAGGTGACACCCGCGGGTGATTTCCTTCGAGCGAGTCTGTCTTATTTCAGTGAAAACAAACGCAAGCCTGAAGAGTTTAATTTCCACCCACGTTTAAGGTCGGTTATCAGGGCTGCTCAGATTGAGGAAGAAATGAGAAGATATAGCATAAGAATCTATAAGAGCAGACGGAAAGAAAGTGGACTCAGCGCGCCAGCGAAAATACTTCCAACTGGATACTGCAGACTTCCTCTGCCTTGATACTGAAGATCAGACGACTATACAGAAAGGATAACCAGCAAGATAGAGTGGCTGCTAACAACTTATGATGAAATCAGAAAATATGCTGAATGAAATGGAGATCATTTGGACATTGGATGAGGAATCTTTCAAGTGACTTCTCCCGTGGGGCTTTCTAATGGAATGCAAATAGGAAGTTACAGGTGTGGTTTGGGTCTGAGTGTGACATGTTGGAGATAATGTAAAGAGGGAATGAAAGTCTGTGTGCAGCGGTTGTGAATTCGGTTGAAAGTGATAGCCTTGAGGGGCGTGGAACAGGAATATATCACGTAGTCTCTACATCCCATTCAGAAAATATTTATTTATTTGCAATAATCTTATTTAATCAGAACATACTCGTTACTCATCTGGCCGCAACTCATACCAATTCTTTGGCAGTTAGTAATATGACTCAGAGTGTTTTCATTTCCTTACATTTTGGGCAAAATATAGTCCTCCAACCTTTCTGCTTTTAAGTTTCAGTGGCGACGGTGGTGTTGTTTCTCTGGAATCATATCCAACCTTCCCCCATTTTCCGAGCTTACTACCAATTACATGAGACTTTTAGGGTGTGTATTGGATGGGAAATTGAACTTCGGACAACATTTGACCGGCAGTCACTTTACCATTGAACCACAACTCAGTAACGCTGTCTGAATTAAGTGAAACGGGATTACAACCCATTTGCTCACAAATTTATCTACCACACAAGTATAAATATTCTCTTACCATTTATTCCTGATAATGCATCCGTTATTAAACGACTTGCTGTAATCTGATAAATTTCTTCTTGTGATGCATTATAGAAAATTTTTTCAAATTTATAGTCCACTGTCTGCAGCTGATTATTAATTGTACATAAAGGTGTTCCCAGGAGATCATTTTCAATCTGAACGACCCTCTGCTTTAAAGTGAAAAAGACGGAAAGAGACAATGAATAATATATACATGTATAGATAAATGACCTGATACGGGTGAGGATGGGTAGACTCCACTTTTTCAGTCAAAACGAGGTCGTGCATTCAGAACTTCTGCCATATAAGTCCTTTTTATTTTAGCGAAAGCGGAAGGCCGAATGAGATTGTTAGGTGCTTATAACTGTACTGGTGAATATCCGGGTTCATTTAGGGTGAGTTAGAAAATCTTGTATCCAAAACTATGGTGCACAGAGGCTGCGGAACTCGGAAGGATCGAAAGCCTATTAACCGGTTTCTGATCACTCGCATACAGCATGGGGACACAGCTTCTAAGGCTTCTCTTCTGTTAGATAAGAATTTAAGTCAAAGATTTAGCAAGTGGTCCCTTAAGATAACCACCTGCTTTGAAATAGATATCGCAGAAGTACCTAAGCCTTCAAGCAAATCATCGAATAATAATTAATCGTTGTCTTGTTACTCTTGTGTGGTAGTAGGTGTGCTACTGCCATGAATGTGTAAGTGGTAAATTATATTATTCTGCAACAGTCCTGAATGGAAGAAAAGGTTTCACTTACAAAGAGGGCAAATGAAGACTATTCGTTAGGGAGCAATACATTGAAAGTATAAAGTATGGAGACAAAAAATGAAGAAGAATACAGATAACTTTTGCAGATTGAATTTTTCGAGTCAGACTTTTATATTTTGCTGATAAAATAATAACACCAATTGAGACTAATATTCAGTGTTTGTTTATGGAGATATGATTGATTTCAGTTTAGATCACAAAACAGAAATTGAAAACCAGAGAGACCGAAATATCTGAAACCAGAATGAACAGTTTAAGCTATTGGCTGGTGGGTCTTATTTTGAAATAATATGAAGTTTATTGATGTACATCCATCGCTCATTTTCACTTGTGCAGAACAATATTATAGTGTACTACACTTTGTTGATGTTTACTTAGGCAGGGGAGAAGATGTTTCACTATAGGCTAGATTAGGAAAGATCTGTACCTTTAAATCCTTAGAATATGAATTAGGATACATTCAAAATGCATTGGTCTAAATAGGTTATCCTAATTGATTTGAGAGAAGATACAAGTGTGCTCTGTACAACAAGGCGAAACCTACAACATTTAAAAAGATAGAGTTGTTCCTAAAGCCGCAGTTGAATGGATACGTATCCAACGAAGTCCTAAACATAAGATTGTCTACAGTGATAAAAAGAAACTTATTCTACTGTCATCCTTTGTTTATTGTTTTATGATCGACCAATTTTGATTTCTAAGGCGGAAGATAAGCCATCTAGCCGTGTCACTTCTGTGTGCATCTAAAAGTTTAGCTGCTGCTGTGGAGAAACCTATGCAGGGCGAACCTAGACAGATTGAGTTTTTCACTCATCGTTGAGCGTTTTCTCTCATGGTTCTGAAGAGGTCAAACAAAGTTCATATGAAGCTCTATTTCGTCTCATTTGATTAATAGCGGCGCCTTTAAGGCTAAAAATAGTATTCCAATGAAACTCTCGAGTGCGTTCTAAACTCATCTTTGACAAATAACCGAATCTATGGTAATTCTAGAGAACACTCCTAGTTTCTGTATAAATAAAGGTGATAATAATAATGCAGCTGGGATTAAAGAAAAAATAACGGCAACAGCAAGAGATCAGAAACATTCTGCTGAATTTGGAAGAATACGTTCGGGGCAAACATTATATCATTATTCTGAGCATTATATACTAAATATTATTTGCATCTGAGCTGGAGAATTTTTTCGTGAGCGTGGGTAAAATGTTAGCAGAACTGCATCCAGAAAGTGAGGGGAATGACAGATGCAACGTGTGAAAAATTGGTTTATTTGTTTGAAATAGGCGTAGGGTGGGTGGATAAGACGGAAAAATGAGGTAAAAGTGAATAGAAAAGTAAGGAAAAGTGTACATTTCAAGTTTCACTTTATCGAAATGTGCCTATGTAACAGACTGTTAAGATTATACAATTCTCCTTACTTCACCCATGTGCATTCTCTAAATGGGTTTGATGCAAACCTAAGGGATCGAAAAACTTTAATAGTCCTAAATCACGTACATTCTGCAGTTAAAATACTTAGGAATGATAGCAGTAAAATTTAATAGTATGCAGGATTTTTCAGTAATTACTGACTTTAGGCGAGCTGCAGAATGTTTGTCGCAGACTTCGAAAGCACTGCAGAATGTTAAGAGCACTGACATATACTTTAACTGGCTAGAAATCAACCATTGGGAGTAAACCATAACTATGTCTTCAACCAAAGAAATTATAATTTATTAATTTCAGAATTAAATGTCAGTATTAATAAGTTAATGATTTGCTTTATTCCAAAACAGCTTTAATGTTACAGTCAGAAATTTTCAGCATTTAGTACAATAGTGCATCTAATGTTATCGAATACTACTACTGTGTCGGTGGCACAGTGGTTAGGACTCTCACCGACCATGCATATGGTCGCGTTCGGTCCTGCGGCGACCGATATCTATGGTCGGCCTGAATTTGGGCTACCGATATCCATGCTAAAAATTCCACACTCGTACTGAAAATACGGTGTGGAATCAAGCTGTAAATCAAAATAAAAAATAATAATAAAAAAACACCGTTTGCAGCACCCTATAAAGCACGTTTTCTACTCAAACAGAGATTAATGAAGTGAAAAAGTAATTTAGTCACCTGATTATCTCCAAAGTGGAGAAATTCTTTTAGTGAAACCTCTGCGGATGGCTTTACTCTCAAATACACGGCTATCGGCATTTAAAAATGCACAATGGCCTTGATCCAATGACAACGTAGCATTCACAAATAGAAACAACAAAATACTTTAGCAATAAAACCCACTGTTCCTTCTTTGATTTATAGGAACAACCTAATGAAATATCTTTAGTATGTTAATATTCGCCATCACATGTTATAGTTTCCAATTACTTTATAGTATCCATCATATGTAAGATACAGTTGAATAAACCATATTCATTTCAGATTCAGATTCAGTTGATAAGGATAGAAGGCTCTTTTGGCCTGTGTTAATCCTTGCAAAATATATCTCTGCAGAGATCTAACTTCTCTTTGAAAGCGTTCACCGATGGAGCTGTTACTACTGAATCAGGTAAGGAGTTCCAGTCGTTGACCACTCTGTGAGAGAATCTAAATTCTGCACGTATTTTAATCTTCCTCGGTTTGAGCACCTTTTTGCGCTGACCCCGTAAATGTATCCTAAAAGGAGAGAAAAGTTTAGAAAGGTCAGTGCCTAAATCACCCTTAAGTATACGGTATGCTAAAATTAAGTCGCCTCTCTTCCTTCGGTATGATAACGGAAAGAGATTTAAATGATATTGGATGGTTGGAGGCAATCGGCAGGAAGCCTTGGACCTAGGTTTCGTGCTAGTTGGCACTCGTCAGCAAGGCGTATCTGCAACCTTGAAGGAACTCATGTCCCTTCTGAGATTCGAACCCGCGTCACCCAGTGCTGCAGTCAGAGACGTTACCACTGAGCTATTCGGGCTCGCGATTGACCTCCTGTAGGACTGTAGTGGATGTTTTGATTTGACACTAGTAACTAGTGTGATGCATCTAGTCCTCTCTTTGGTGCAGACTGAAATCTATCAGTCAGGTTGTAATGTGGCCACCATTCTAGGTAGCTCGCCATTACGGTGTACATTGTTTGTGATGATATTGGATGGTTGGAGGCAATCGGCAGGAAGCCTTGGACCTAGGTTTCGTGCTAGTTGGCACTCGTCAGCAAGGCGTATCTGCAACCTTGAAGGAACTCATGTCCCTTCTGAGATTCGAACCCGCGTCACCCAGTGCTGCAGTCAGAGACGTTACCACTGAGCTATTCGGGCTCGCGATTGACCTCCTGTAGGACTGTAGTGGATGTTTTGATTTGACACTAGTAATTAGTGTGATGCATCTAGTCCTCTCTTTGGTGCAGACTGAAATCTATCAGTCAGGTTGTAATGTGGCCACCATTCTAGGTAGCTCGCCATTACGGTGTACATTGTTTGTGATGATATTGGATGGTTGGAGGCAATCGGCAGGAAGCCTTGGACCTAGGTTTCGTGCTAGTTGGCACTCGTCGGCAAGGCGTATCTGCAACCTTGAAGGAACTCATGTCCCTTCTGAGATTCGAACCCGCGTCACCCAGTGCTGCAGTCAGAGACGTTACCACTGAGCTATTCGGGCTCGCGATTGACCTCCTGTAGGACTGTAGTGGATGTTTTGATTTGACACTAGTAACTAGTGTGATGCATCTAGTCCTCTCTTTGGTGCAGACTGAAATCTATCAGTCAGGTTGTAATGTGGCCACCATTCTAGGTAGCTCGCCATTACGGTGTACATTGTTTGTGATGATATTGGATGGTTGGAGGCAATCGGCAGGAAGCCTTGGACCTAGGTTTCGTGCTAGTTGGCACTCGTCAGCAAGGCGTATCTGCAACCTTGAAGGAACTCATGTCCCTTCTGAGATTCGAACCCGCGTCACCCAGTGCTGCAGTCAGAGACGTTACCACTGAGCTATTCGGGCTCGCGATTGACCTCCTGTAGGACTGTAGTGGATGTTTTGATTTGACACTAGTAACTAGTGTGATGCATCTAGTCCTCTCTTTGGTGCAGACTGAAATCTATCAGTCAGGTTGTAATGTGGCCACCATTCTAGGTAGCTCGCCATTACGGTGTACATTGTTTGTGATGATATTGGATGGTTGGAGGCAATCGGCAGGAAGCCTTGGACCTAGGTTTCGTGCTAGTTGGCACTCGTCAGCAAGGCGTATCTGCAACCTTGAAGGAACTCATGTCCCTTCTGAGATTCGAACCCGTGTCACCCAGTGCTGCAATCAGAGACGTTACCACTGAGCTATTCGGGCTCGCGATTGACCTCCTGTAGGACTGTAGTGGATGTTTTGATTTGACACTAGTAACTAGTGTGATGCATCTAGTCCTCTCTTTGGTGCAGACTGAAATCTATCAGTCAGGTTGTAATGTGGCCACCATTCTAGGTAGCTCGCCATTACGGTGTACATTGTTTGTGATGATATTGGATGGTTGGAGGCAATCGGCAGGAAGCCTTGGACCTAGGTTTCGTGCTAGTTGGCACTCGT